GATTGAAATGTCTGAACTAGAAACGGATTTTTGATCCAGACAGCTAAACCTAAAAACATGCCACGCCTCCAACATTTAGTGTCTAATTTGTATTTTATCTTTGTTTATTTTAAGGATGATGTCATTAATCCCATTCTATCTCACCTCAGAATCTGTGTTTGTCTTTAATTTAGAGAACTCTTCAGGAAATATCTCCAAATGTGAATGTGCAACATATTTCTATTTCAGGTTGTTTGACTGTTTCATCTCCGACTAAGTTTAAAAAAAAAAAAGAAGAAAATAATCATAATTTCTCTGTGTGACTAAAAGGCAATTAACATTTCCCCCTCTGTCAAATATTTGCCCCTTATAAAATTCATTGAAAACCTTTGAGGAACAATCGCTGGGCCACCCGCTCCATTTTCTGATAAGCAGGATGTGGCAGAAATGTAATTATGTTTCTCAGGTTGAACACCCTCAGTGGCACAGAAGCAGGTCAGGACTGAAGGATGTGCCCTTCCCCTTTGTTCAGGGACAAAGACCCTCCTCTTCTCCTTCTTTCTGTCTGTCTGGGTGGCTCAGCTGGCAGTTACTCTATTATTAGCTCCAAGTTTTATGGATAAAAAAAAGGAAAAGATGGCGATGATGTCATGGTTAACACACAATGGCTCTACCTCAAAATGATTCAGCACCTTTCCCCTCATCCAGAAAACAGCTTGAACCGGGCAATTTTACAAATAAGGTTCAAGATTTAAAAATAAAACGTTCTCTTTCAGTTTTTCCTCGAGTTATTTTAAGGTCTTAATGACTCTGGTGTTTAGCCACTTTAGTCAGAGATCCATTAGCCAAAATAAGGTAAATTCATCTCTTCGGTTTAGATTTTTGTTGTTTTTTTGTTTTTGTGTTTGATCCAGGTTCTGTGTCAGTGTACACAGCTCAGTTTTCACTCAGATCTGTCTTGACACAGTGTGTCTCTGGGAGAAATCGCTCCCGTGGTGGCTGCTGCTCAGCAACAGAATCTATGGCAACGTTACCCACCAATTAACTCTTTGCTACCTGCTAGAAATAAAGCTGAGATGCGTCTTTAAATATCTGAAATGTATTCCATCTCGATGTAATGACAGAAATTGTTGGGATTCTTCTTTTTTTTTTTTTTTTTTACATGGAAGGACATCTCACCAAGCAACTGGTTTGATTTCAAGGAAGGTTTTAATTGTCCAGTCCAGTTATGGGGACAAAAAAAAAAAAAGAAGCAAATTCCTAGTCAATCTGTTCCTCACTGAAGCTCATCTCTTCTAACATCAAAGTCAGGTGCAGACAAAATGATCATCTCACAGAACATAAAGCATTCTCCTCGCTTGCAGTTATTTCTTCAAGGTTGTAGCTGGAAGGACATAAAAAAAAAAGATGGACATTTACTGCGGTGGATGTCTGCAGACTGGAAGGTCCGAAATATTCTAGATGTCCAGGAGGAAACGTATATTTACACTTTTTATTTGTGTTCTGTCATCAGAAACATGCTGAACCTTGAGACAGATTGGCTACTGAAGGAGAGTAAGGGGCAGTAGTGTTAGCTAAGGACGGAAAGAAGAAGAAGCTGCATTTAACGCTGATTCACCAAAAACAATGCATTAAGAACTTGGAAAAACTTTGCCTCGTCCAAAACGTCTCAGGGTGTCCAACTCAGATCCTAAATAACTGGTTTCCTGCCTGATAGATAATTTACTTCCTCAGTTGTGTTTAGCATCAGCCTGCTAATGATCTTTGCATTTGATTCAGATATGCTGGACTAGGGGAGTTCTTGAGGACTTGAGTTGAACACCCCTGAATCAAATGTTGAGACCAGAATTTGGTGCAAGTTTGCTTTTAGTTTTTTGTGGAATAAACTGGGGAACATCCAGAGTTACAGTAGAATCAACATGAATTGAACTGAAGAGGGTTTTAATTGGAGGTTTTAATCAGCATGGAGGAGGACGAACCCTTCGACAGCTCACAAGAGCTTTTTGTGCTTATGAAGTGAGGGTCAAACGGCCTGAAGTGCAGCCGAGAGCAGCTTTTTTTCAGGTTTGACGAGATACTGAAGCATTTTGTTTAATATCAGCCCCGTTATGGGTCCCCACGCCCCACCCTCCACTCGGCAGCACTGCAGGGGTATAAATCTTTGAAGAACTGCAATCTGCGTCACGGGCAAACACACAAATCTGTCCCACCCAGCTGAAAGAGGAAAGAAGGCCTGATCTGTGAAGATGGAGATGTTGAGGTTTGGGAGAGAAAAGATGTTAGTGTACAGGTCAACCCGGCAAATTGGAGCAAGTTATCCATCACATTTATAAAAATCCATCTGTGCAAAGGGCCCAAGAGACAAAAGAATACAAGAAATGTCTTGAAGATTGCAATATTCGTTTTGCAGGGATGAGGAATCAGGTCAGGGTTAATAGGAGGATTAAAAATATAGCAAAGATGTAGCCAGAGCCAAAATGAAGTGGCCCAGTCAAAGTCCAAACCTAAATCCAATTGAGAATCTGCGACGAGACTCGAAAATAAATATTCAAAGATGCTGTACATCCGGTGTACCAAGCTTTCCACCTATGCAAAACTGGCAGAGACTGACCCTGAAAACACTGCGGCTGTGACTGTAGTGGAAGGTGGATGTACAAAACGCCGACTCTGAGGGCAGAAACAAAAGACGCCTGCCATACTTCACTTCACTGAAATCTGAGATTTTAATGTGGCAAAATGAGAAAAGTTTTGGGGGATGAATACATTTGACGTGTTACTATAATGTGGTGTCTTAAAAAGATAATTTAAACCACTTTAATCCTTTCATGCATGAATTATGATCCTTTGTGTCAGGATTTTTCCCCAATTTTATTTTTATTTTCTTAAGGCATACAAAAAGTAGGAAAAAAAAAATTGCAAAAAAACAAAACAAAACTTTTTTTATTTTTAGGTGATCAATTGTAATTTTCTCCAAATACAAAGTTGTTATTTGAAAAATACATCAGTAGTGTTGTTCTTTAGGGGTTATCTGAGGTCACAATGGGTTTTTTTTACCTGCAAGAGACCAGGCATGCTTTTTTGTCTGTCGGTCATATTGGATTTAACAAAGATAATTTCTTGCATTTGCAGCTGATGGCCAGTAGTTGATGGTGTATTTTATGATGCATTAGTGTCCACTTCAGTGGCCTGTGTGCATTTATAACATAAAAATCCACAAAAAGCGCAAGAAAATGGCTTTTAGACAGCTGTCCACTGAAGTGACCACTATGCATGAAAGGGTTAAATCATCTCAGCTGTTTTTTTTTTTAAATACAAGTGTTCATTACTTTGAGGATATCAATGATTAAAGAATATAAAGATGCAAAACAGTTATTTAAAGCATGAAAATATGCTCAAAATGTTTAGATTGTCCAGCACACAGTCAGTGAGACACAATGAAACGACATGCAGCCTCGGTCAGGTCAAGTCTTTATTGATATGGTGTCATACAGCAATACATATATAGTAGTCACGGTAAAGAGAACAGCATGTCAACTACATTCAATCCCTATGCTTTAGAAGTAATGGTAACTCTAATAAACACTACGGAAGATGAAAACGCCCCACTGGACTGAAATATACACACTGAACATGGAACCAGAAGCTGCTGGTGTTTTAAGGCGTTTCACATCCTACAATATTTCTTCTACGATATAGTTCAATATTGACGGTTGAGTATGGATTGGTGACATATTGTACTAGTTTTGTTTTGTTTTTTTCCTTTTGAGAAAAATGTGCATTTAGAAAAGTTTGGCAGTGCCGCAGTTGTGGTGACATTTGTTTGTTGTTGTTGTTTTTTTATTTTTTTATTTTTTGGTTTTTAGTGTAAGGCTTTGCAACCACGAGTCGTTCATCCATTGTCAAAGCGCGCATTACGTAAACGGCGACAACGTTCCATAAAATCAAAACTCCCCGACGTCGAGGTCTGTCGCCCCCGTGTTCCGGTCATGTTAGGCCACTGTGCAAGAAGCACATGTATACAGTACTAAGATACTCGTCACAAGCTTCAGGTAAACACAACCAAAAACCAGAGCAGCTAGCTGTACAATCAGCAGTTTCTTTGCTTCTACTTGTGAAGAAGTGAGTGCAGTTCGTCACGGCGTTGACCGCCGTGACCTGGAGTGAGGCAGTGCACAAGCAGGAATTAATAAAAAGTAAATAAGCTACAAGTCCTCATAGCTACTCTAAGAGTGAAGTAGTTACTACAACAGACATTTGATCCAGTCATGGCCACAGTTATTAAGAAGCGAGGTCTAGTTGTTTCTGTGATCCAGCAGGTTTTCGTTTAGCTCCGCGGGGTTTTCGTCGGCGCGGCTGACTTCAGATTTCAGTGATGTGATGGGGTTCACGGAGCATGGGTCTTAAACGAGCTATGTATACGATAAATCACACCCGGAGACATGAAACAAACAGAATCTCATGCGTTTGTGCTGACGTATAATGTATGATCCCATGTATATACTCAACCAGACTGAAAAAACACTATTCATTCGTTTTATATCAATTACAAATTGGATTCATCTTTGTAAAAACGTATTCTCCCCTTGCATCCTCGGTAAAACATTATGCAAATAGTTACTCATTCCAAGCTTAGGTGATTCACTTCTAATCAAGTGCTTTTAAAGACGACCCTTTTCGGTATATTCACATTATCGGCAGAGATCGGAGGCCTAGTTGCATCCTAAGGATGATGAAAGCGGTGCTTACCTTTCATGCTCAAACGACACCAAGTCGAATGAGATGAACAATCAGCCAAGCGTGGCACACCACATGCAAATAAAGCTCAAGCAATACATTTTCAGAAACTGCTCGCTTCAAGTTTTAGCTTCATTAAAATAGCAACGCTGTGACACAGGAACATTGTTGATGAATTGAAAGGAAAACATCGCCCTTTCCTCTGATCATCTACTGTTATTAGAAGAAAACAGAATAGCTCAACTGAAAGCCATGAGTTTATATGATTGTTGGACTGTTTTGCTATGTAAGGTAGACTGTTTCTTCCTGAAACTGTCAGTGATAAAAGCACAACACCAGCTGATGTGTTTCCAACCTATTTTTTTTTTGTGTGTGTGTGTGTGTGTATGTGCCATTGTGCATCCTAACAGTCAAACGCGTGTCCCTCAATATGTGTTGAGATTACATCAAAGCTTGAGGTAAAAATTTGCTCACTGTGTCTCTCCTACACGATGACTGGTGATGAAGACTGCTATCAGAGTTGTTCAGCCATGACTTTTGTCGCAATAAAGTGATTGCTTCTGTGGAGTTATGATGGATTTGAATAAGAATAAACAGACGGGAGACGAAAAGAGGCGTGTGTTTGCGCGGGACAGAGCAAAGGTTTAGTGGTTTCAGACCCAGGCTTAGAGGAGGTTTCTAGTTTTTCTGATTGGTAGGGATGTCTTCTTGCTGCTTCTCCATCTTCTTGGTTGTCACCACGGTCTCCTCGTAGACTTCGCGTTGGGACACCTTCCCGGTGGGCTTGCTCTGCGGCTGCTGCTCCTCCTCCTTGCCCTCCTTCTTGGAGGTCTTGCCGGAGCCGGAGTAGATGCGGGTCTGGTAGCTGTAGCCCTGCCCGATGCCGGCGCTTATAGAGGGGTTGGAATAGGCGATGCCTGTTCCGATGCGGGTCTCCTCCCCTTCCAGGAGTTTCCTGCAGAGAGGGAGACACGCAGACGGGAGGGTTTAGGGAGAACACACAATGAAACACAAACCGTAAAATGCAATGAAGCGCTAAGCCGTGAAGAAGAATCACGTGTTTCGTTTTCTGTGACCGATCATACCTGTATGCAGCAATTTCTATATCCAGAGCCATCTTGACATTCAGCAGGTCCTGGTATTCCCTCAGATGACGAGCCATCTCACTCTTGGTGGTCCTCAGCTCATTTTCCAGCTCTGCCATGCTCTCCTAAGCAGGATTAACAGATCAGAGCTCTGGGTTAATAATATTTTGCAACCACAATACTTTGACTCTAAAGCAGGGACGGGTATTCCTTTGTATGTTGTTTCATATACTTTTCTTGGTTAAATAAATAAATGTTCTATTTCTTTGTCATATTTTTGAAACATTTTAGGATTCTTTTCTCTTTTTTTTAGTTCATATTTCTGATGAAAACTGATGGAAGTGATTGAAATGACTGTAAATTCGGGTAGATGGTGTGTATTCAGTGGGCGTTGTCGGATGCAGGGAGTGTGTTTCTCTCTGGGGAGTGTTTCAGCACCAAGGACAGAGCAACTGCAGCTCATCCGCACCGCGAGTTTTATGGTTCTCCACAGGAAAAACAATACAAATGCTCAATAAATAAATACAACTGGAATAATTTAAAAAATAATAATCTAACAAATTAGCAGAGAAAAAAAACTGAAAATATATATATTCTTTTTAAAGTAGTTTTAATCATTGGTTCCTTTTTTATTCGGTTTTTATTCTATTTTTTTAGATTATTTATATTTTAAATTCTGTTTTTCACGTTTATTTTCTCTTCTTGTGCGTCTACTTGCTGTTACTGCCTGCTACTTTGCTGCTGCTGCACAGAAATGTCCCCATTGTGGGACAATACAGGATATCCCTACTCTATTCTGTAAATATATAACTGATCACTCAGATGAAACCCGTTCATCGATTTTCATCTAGACTCTTGCGTTAATAAACAAACATAAATAAATGAGCAGGAATTACCTGGTAGGTGTTGATCTCCATGCTGTGCCTGTCCTCCATCTCCCGCATCTGCTTCTCCAGAGACTCGGTGGTCCCCCTCAGGCTCTCTATCTCGATGGTCTTGGACTGCAGCTGCCTCCGGAACTCGTTCGCCTCCTCCCTGCTGGCTCGGATGGCGTCGTTGCTCCGGCTGGCCTGCTCCGTCAGGTCGGCGAACTTGCTCTTGTACCACTCCTCGGCCGACTGCAGGTTCTTGGACGCCATGGACTCGTACTGGCTGCGGATCTCCTTGAGGGCGGAGGTGAGGTCCGGCTTGGCCACCTCCATCTCCACGGACACCTGCGCGGCCTGGATCATGTCCGTCAGCTCGACCACCTCCTCCTCGTGCACCTTCCGCAGGAAGTTGATCTCGTCCAGGAGGGACTCGACTTTCTTCTCCAGGTCCAGGCGCACCATGGTGGCGTCGTCCACGTCCTTCTTGAACGCCTTGAGGGTGGCCTCCGCCTCCTCCCGGGCGCGGAACTCCTCCTCGTACTTCCCCCTGAGTTTCTGCAGGTCGTCGTCGATGCTGTCCCTCTCTATCACCAGCTGGGACTTCTCCCCGTTCAGCTCCTCCAGCTGGGAGCGCAGCTCTCGGATCTCCTGCTGGTAGAGCTCCGCCAGGCGGGACGGCTCTGCCTGCCGCTGGCGCAGCGCCACCAGCTCGGTCTCAAGGACTTTGTTGTGCTGCTCCAAGTTGCGCACCTTCTCGATGAACATGGCAAAGCGGTCATTGAGACCCTGCATTTGCTCCTTCTCGTTGGTGCGGATGATCTTGTACTCATTGTTGAGGATGCTGCTCTGGGTCAGGTCGAAGGCCTCCAGCGGAGCGGAGAAGGAGCGAGCCGACTTTCTGCTGTAGGAGCCCACGGAGGAGATGCCTGTGCGGGACAGGGAGGAGGAGCGGTAGCCTCCTCCGCGGGAGGACACGCGCGACGGAGAGGAGGAGAGACGGGGAGAATCCCCGAAGATCCTCCTGTAGGAGGAGGAGGAGAACACATCAGATCCGTAGCTCATCTTCGCCTGCGTGGACACAGAGCGCGGCAGTGGGCGCGTCTCCTTTATAAAGGCAGGGTGGACCCACTCACTAATTAATGCCAGCTGGAAACATCCGGTGTTCATGCGTCACACGGTCCAGGAAAACTTCGGGATGGTGTTTAGAGAGCAGCTATAACCAGGCAAAATCGTCAAATTAAAAAAATGAAAGTGACATTCTGGGCACACACGCTCCGAACAATGCATCATTGCTTTATCCATATCCATTTCCCCTCTCTGTAATGAAGTTGTTTTTTTATATGCGTAAAACTGCTGTGTGCTGGGATTCACTGCAATAGAACCTGTCTGACAACATGAAATTGGCTTAAAAAGAATATCAAAAAGCAGCACATCAGAGAGAAATTCAGTTCAGTTTCACTTCACATCAGAAATTCAAAACAGGTGAAAGAAAATCCGTGACATCTATCAGTCCGGAACGGGTCACAAAGCCAAGGCTTCGGGAGACGTGTAAAAGTCGTGAATTTTCTCCAGAGTGGCTCGTCTAACTTGATTACACAAAACGCGCCTCGTCATCTCATTTAGGAGGTTACGAAAGAGACAACATTTAAAGCATTGAGGGCTTCACTAACCATAAGGTCAGAGTTCATGAATCAAAAAAACAGAAAAAGAAAATGAGCAGAAAAGACATCAGCTGAACATTATTAAGAGGCCAACGCACACCCACGTTAAGATGTTTGGATTAAGACCCAAAATATAGCATTTGATCACATTCAGTCGGTGTGCTAACAATTTTAAATTATATTACTGCTTAAAAAAAATCAAACTTACAAAAAAATTTCATAATAACTATAATGATTTTATGACCATTTTAAGTGGAGGCACCGAACATGATTATCACCCGCTTGTGTTACCTACGGAGGAGCAAAAAGGCTAATGGCCTTAATCCAGAGTGACCTAAACCCATTAGCACAACCCACTGAGATGAAAGATTATTTTTGCCATTATTTCATCACATGCAATAGGTTTGCAAACCTTGCATTTCCAATACGATCACATTTTGTAGGAAACAAACTGTCGTAATAAATGACACAAGTTGCACCAGTAAAGTCATAAAATGTAATTTATTTAAAACTATACCGTTGCTGGCCTGCAATTTGGGGTATAGAAAGAAACGTCTAGTTTAAAAACGAGCTTTTGCTGCCATCTGGTGCCTGACAGTGCCACAACGCAACAGAGCAGCTCCTATTAATAAAACAAAAAGTTAGTTATGTTTGTTAAGCATAGTGCAGTTTAGAGCTTGAAAAGCTTGCTGGGTGATGTGATGTTGCATGAACTGCTCAACACATGGTTGGAGGCAGGTTTTTATTTCATAAAACGTATGAAACAGTGAAAACATATTGCCAAAACACAGAATTAAAAGTCTTCAAAAACATATAGGAAGCATCACATGCATAAACATTTGCTCACCATGTCTCTGTAGTTCTTATGGCTTGTTACTGTTAAAGTTTGTCCAGTCCTTTCAAAAATATCTTTTCAACTGAACATAGCAGTGTGTTCAAATTTTCACTTTGAATCTGGAAGTCTTACATTTATAAAGCTCAATTAAACAGTCCGGTCTTTGCCAGCGATACTTTTCCTATATGAGTTCGTCATATCTAAAACAAACCCGACGTATATCCCTCTGAAATCAAGAGCTTGTGCATAAGAGGCAAGAACCTGAACAAATCTGATGTGCACGATGAAATCAATATATAAACAGCTTGATCGCTCGCCTACTGCTTTGTTCCTCATTCTTCACTCTGTCTCCATGCAGACAAGATGCAGGAGTTTTCAGCTCTTCTTCCTCCATTTCTGTCAACAACACGCCGCTTATAAGCTGGCTAACGGGAGGTGGTTTTGTTTTTTCCCCTTTTTTGCACCTGAAAGTCACATTTGGAGTGGACTGCTGCAGCTTGTTCTTCGAGATGAGCCACCCAAGGACATGGGATGTAGACTACACCTGTTGCCCTTCTTGTGTTAAGCTGAACCAGAGACAAAGAAACGTCTTATTGAGTAAAAAAAAGACTGAAACTCACAGAGTTTGATGGTGGAATAGAGGAAATGCATAGAATCCAAGTTGCTTCATCAATCAGCACTTATGTCTAGAAAAACATTTCAGAGCACTTTATGTCAGGCTGTTTATAGATGCTTATTTCATTTTCCACCAACACTTCAACCTTGCCCATGCTGCCAAAAGTACTAATACCTGCTTCAATGCCAGTGGTATCACTGTGACTGATTGGCTCAGTATAAACTCCACAGAGGAACATGAGAACCACCAGAACCAACAACACAGAGCTGAAGGTCACTCTTTTATTGGCGTCTGGTGTAATGCATGATTCTGAGAAGCTAAATTTTAGGCTTTAAGCAGCAACCAACTAAACAAACAGAGTCGGTAGCTTAAAATACATCTGTGAACTGAATGAATCTGTTTGAGTTTCGACTGAATTTTTGATTTAAGTTAAATGTTTTTGATCATATTCTAATTTTTTTGAGCTGTACTTGTTGGAAAGACCCATAAAAAATGTAACTTATCTCTAAATGGTCATATATTGCTTTGGCCCTGATAGGCGTGAAGCTTATAAGTATGAAGAATTTTTCCAGAGTATGACCTGTGTCCGAAATAAAAAAAAAACTAAACTAAGCTAACAAGCTTGAAATGGGAGTAGCTCAAATACCAAAAACCAGTCCGTCTTGCACATATTGATTAATTGATAGTTGGAATGGAGTAATCTGCTTGAGGCAGAATACTTTCATGTTTAGTATGGTATAGGATTACTGTCAAGAATGGATGTCATTTAATCCTTTCACGGCTGAGGTCTTCTGTGCACATCTTTTCTAACCAGACTTCCTCCTTCCACTGAATTTTCTGGTGACATGCTTGGATACAGAACTCTGTGAACCACCAGCTTCTTCAGGAGTAACCTTTGTGTCTCCACCTTCTTGTGAAGGGTGTCGGTGACACAGCTAAACAAATAGTCAGAAGCTTAAAATTCATCTGTGATTTTAATGAAACTGTTTGAGTTTCAACTGATGACTGTCTTCCGGACAGACTGGAGAGGCCGTTTAAAGGCTTAAGAAACTTGTACAAGTTGACTAGGGTGTGACGCAGCAAGTTTCCATTAACCATTCAATCAGTCAAGTGTATCTGCATAGCACATTTCAGCAACAAGACAAGTTTTACATCATAAAAACACAAAAATTCAAAGCCATAAAATACAGCACACAGTAAACCAGTGAACGTTGCATTTTGCTCTGTGCCATCGTTACACATCAAAATGTAGGCCAGTGTTTCATTTATTATTGTTCAAATAAAACTCTAAACAGATGAGTTTTTACTCTATAGATTTAAAGGAACTCAGTGTTCCAGCTGTTTTGCAGTTTTCTGGAAGTTTTTTTTTCCAGATTTGTGGTGCATAGAAACTGACTGCTGCTGCTCCGTGGTTGGTTCTGGTTCTGGGGATGTAGAGATGATCAGAACCAGAAGATCTGAGTTATTTGATAGGTTAATACAACCACAGCAGATCTTTAATGTATTTTGGTATCAGTGATTTCTAAAAAAAAAAAAAAAAATACCAACAACAGTATTTTCAAGTCTATTTTATGAGCTACAGGGAGCCAGTGTAAGGCCTTCAGAACTGGAATGATGTGCTCTGATTCCTTGGTTTTAATGAACTTTTTAAAAGTATTCTAATTTTCTGAGACACAATTTTGTTTTTATTATGATTATCTGTTTCTTGTAACCATAAAAATTACAACAAAGGTTGGCATTATGTCGCTTTTTGAGGGAGGATTCTAGATAATAGACTCATTTCACTTTCTGAGATGACTGGCGGGAAATATTTCACTTTTACACAATATTTTTTATTTGTACTAGTAAATAATGGTGGTTTACTATCTTACATGACTTTTTTCTGACTTTAACATAAACTATAACACATAATGAGATGCGTTCCATAGTTTTCCTTCTTTATTATTATTTTTTTTTAATAAAGAAAACGTTTGTGAACTATACCCTCCCTGCTGAAAGCCTCTTGTGACGCAGTCACGTGTCTCCGCCACGACGGCAGAGGGGTCCGCCTCTTTGTGACACGCAGGAACAAGCGCCTCCCTCTGACCGTCTCATAACAACAGCTGGCATCTCTCGGAGTCTGCTGAGAGCTAGCCGAGCTCGGACACTCTTCTGCCTGGCTTTCCGCTGAGTTTTCACCGCCGCTGCGCCTCCAGCTTCCCACTGTCAGAGTCTAGCAGCACCGCAGGAAAACACCTCTTTCTCCCAGTTTGACACGGCTCACAGCGCATGCTCAGACTAACGGACGGCCCTTTGATTTTATTCAGGAACTCGGAGGTGAGTGCTGAAACACGTCACTTGTAGGAGAAATGTGCTTAGACTGTCTTCTTTGTGTTTCACCAAGGGGAGATAGTGTGGTATAGTTATTTGAAGTCCTGCTTCCTGTTGTCCTTTCAGTCTTTGTCAGTCAAAAGAAAAAAAAAGAAAAAGGAAAACAGCCTACGGTTGTTAGCCAATGTAATTAGATGTTTGGCAGCGCTGCGAACAAGGTGTTCTTTGAGGCTATAGTTTGGAGCAGATAGTTTTTGACTGAAGTGCATCTTAAGCCACGGAGACGACGAAACAACTCGACCAGAGAGAGGAAAATCACCGAGAAGGGCTGACTTATCTGTCAAAGTCAATCAAATCAAGCTGCCACATAGACATTAGCTAAACAACACGAGCATAAAAAGTATCCGAGTGAGTCTGTTATCTCGACCTCATATAGCTATAGGAATAGGTGCAGAAATTGGACTATGATGCAAGCTTTGCAGTGAGAGTTTTAATCAACAGGGGTCGTTGGCAGGACTTAAAACTCGCTTCTATTCTTGCTTCCATTTAAAGTAAAAAAAAATAAAATAAATAAGCTACCTTTGCTCCTCCTTTCCTGCAGTATTTAGCTGAGGGAGAAAGTTTCAGCAAGGGAAGCACAAACACAGCACTGGTAATTACAGCTAACAAAGTCAGCAAAGTCACCAGACTATTGTTGTTGGGTTTTTTTTTTTAATCTATTCAGCCTGAACTTTTTTCTACAATCAGTATTTAGTTTGACATGTAATGACGAAGGATGTTTGAGATAAACAGGTTTGTCTCCAATCTCCTGCCTTTTTCCTCATTCTTTACTCTTTCCTCATGCAATCAGACAAGGTGCTGGAGTTTTCATTGGTGGAGTGAAGCAGCTGGTATCTGCACAGTGCTAATCAGCTGGCTACAAGAAGCCTGCTAGAGTTTCCCCTTTCTTACATGAAAGACAAATTTGGCTGTTCAGAATTATTATTATTTTATATAAGACACTTGCTGGTCTGTTGATCAGCCATTACATTTAGCAGCATGTTCACGAGTTTGATTGACAGCACTAAGACACTCCTTGTTTTTGACCGGGAGCAGTGCATTTCTTCAAATGGCAATAGGAGCTCGATATTTTCACAGATTATCTATCTCATGTTATACTGTCACTACATGGCAATAGTTTTAACTAATATGTAAAAAACCCAATAAAAAATAAAAATAAAAGTTACATACTACAGCTTTGATATGACCAAATTTCTTTCTTTTTTTAGCCAAGGTTAGCATTGGCTAGTTTTCTGTTGAACTGTCTCTGATTTGCAGGTCACATAGTGAAAAATCTGATTTCCTTTTTTCTGTTGATGAAATGCCTCAAAACTTAGAACGCCTTTAAAATTACTAAAACATTTAATGAAAATCAGAGAAGGGTTAGAGAGATATGCTTTTTTAATGCATAAATATGGATAATCTTGAAATCATATTAGTTTTGTTAGATTCAAAACTAAAATCTTTAATAAAAAAAAACATTTTTTTGTGCAATTTTTTTAGGTGTTCTAACAGTTCTTCAAATAATAAATTAGATTTAGCAGATTGGACTTAAAAAAACCCCATCAGTATTGATCAGGAAAACCATAATCAGTGGATTACTTTTGTTTGTGTCTAAATAATAATAAATACATTTCACTGATTACCTCAGAAGTAAGAAGCAGCATGTTATCCTGTTCTGGCTGCAGTAGCAGTACTTATATTCATGGAGCGCTTTTCATTTAGTTAGACGTAATACAGAACGTTTCACAGAGAAAATATGGACAGAACAATTGCGCCAGAAAATGGTAAATGACGTAAATAAAGTCTTTATCAGACAGAGCAAAATGTAGAACAGATGGACCACGTTTACAAGTGTGCATGTGGAGACAGATGCAAGCAGTTTGAAAACATTCAATCAATACTTTACTTTGGTTATAAAACAGTGATTATGACTTGGACATAAATTCGGTTCTTTCAGAACTTTTCCCCACCTACTTTTTTTTTTCCCAGACACTGATACGTTTAAAAGATGACGACTTCATGGAGTGACAGATTACAAAACTATGCAGACCTGCCAGCCAACATGGACGGCGTTGCCATGAAGAAGTACAGGAGGGAGCCCTACCACAGGTGAGGAGCTCATCTGAACGTCCAGGTGGAACGACGAGCACGATAAGAACTCTGGCGCTGTCAGCTTGTGATGGATAAGGCTGACTTTGCACATTTATATTATGTAATCCTGAGATTTAGATTCCTCTTTATCTATTATCATGTTTCACAAAACCGATAGAAAAGCCTATTTTTGGGCTACATGAAACTATTTTATTGCGTTGTCTCATGAATCAAACTAACCAGTCTTAGTATACGTGCAATAAACATCTTGAAGATTGAATCCCTCTTTACTGAGCGGCTGTGTTGATGCACAAAACTTGAAGGAAAAAACACTTTAATAAATAGGTTAAAGACCAAACCTTTTTAGGTTTTTGGTGTCTGATGTTTAAAGAAAGAACTGGTGGCCTAATTTTGAGTAAGATATCCAACAGTGTTTTTGAATTAAAAAAAAAAAAGAGAGAGGGAGAAGAAAAGAACTGGAAGTGAATCAGAAAAGGGAAATCTGAGTCCTTTTCAGACCAGAACCTGAACCACAGCAGGTTTTCTTCTTCTGGTTGAAATGGTTTATTCTCAGAACCTCGTTTGGATCACTGCCCAGCCGGTTTCTCAGTTCAGAAACGGGGAATCTCACACAACCTGCTGTTTACTCTGGGAAAGGCTCCCCAGACTGGCGGGGCTGACGGGGTGTTTGGGCGTCTTTGTGGTTCCTCTTTCTGGATCACACTCGCCTAAGATGGATACAATAAAAAACAGTGAAAGTGAAAAGTCTCCCCTGCATATTTGTGCAGGAAACGATACATTTTTTTATTTTTATTTTTTTACTGGAATTCACATGGAAACACTGGACCAGAAAAATACAATGCTGATGGTGCACAGGAACTGTTAGGCAGCCTAATCGGATCGGGTCGATAAAGCCCGGTTCTGATTGGTTGACCGCAACGTCTTAATGGATTCTTTTTTGTGCCCTTTTCTTCCTGTCCGTCTGAGCCAGAGCTGCGTTCAGAGTTGGCAGAAGACATCACCAGGCCGTGGTGCGTTCGCTGGCCACCAGAAAAGTACAATTCTGCTCCTTATTCCTCACCACCTTGTTTAGACTTCAGAGAGAATTTAAATTCATTTCTGCTAGATGAGATCTTCCTGTTGCTGGAGGGAGAAGCACATCATCAATGTAACCGTCTAAGGAATAAAATAAACAATCTGTAAAGTGATGTGGTTATTTAAGGATTATTTTATTCTTCTTTATGTAGGAAATACTTTGACCTGGATGGCAGATTTTGATCAGAACAGCTTCAGTTTCATAGAAACTCACCTTGGACGATTTAATTTGACCAGAACTGATGCTGTGGTGAATAGGGGTGCGCCGATAAATCTGCCGCAATTTCCTTAATTTTGGGAGACTGGCAATCGGCCGGTACTTGCATGAGAAATTGATTTTGTCTACCGACGCAAACATCTGAAAATCTTTTGCTTTGCCGTGAGAGCAGACTGGCTTACAGAACCACTCACCGGATCCGCATATGAGGATTTAGCAGTAGTCACTCCACTGACGCCAATTTAGCAACTTTCCGAAGAAAAAAGTTGTGTTATCCAAAATTGTTATCGCCACAACAGGCTTTTTAAAGATCGGTGATAAGCCAGAAAGCTGCAATCAGTGCACCCCTAACAGTGAAGGCATTTTAAAGTAGTAGGAGTAACTAACTGTGTGTAAAAGGTCAGAGATGAGAAGTTTGTATTTGCATTCTGCAATTTGACTCTGGATGGCTAGAAAATTAATTTCTGAATGGTTTCTTTTCATTTTTAGAAGCTAACCTTCACAACGTTTGCTCATCGATTGCCCATTTTGAAATGGCACCATGGTTTTTTGTTTTGTTTGTTTCTTGCGCATTCATTAGCATATAGAAAACCACTGCTTCCATCATGTGGTTGAGGCAGCAAAACTAGAAGTCTGACTTAAAAGGCTGGTGGCTCGATATAATTCCTGAAATGGAGAGGTAGCAAGTCTGTGCTGCTCACTGGATGAAGTGTTTTTAAACGCAACGAGCCCAAACCAAAGTGTGCTTTCAGAGTGTTTAAGTTGGTTCTGACTCAAGACACTCAGATATATGCTCTCAAGCTAAAAAATGAAAAACGTTATACAGAAACACGCTCTTGTGGGCTGAGAACTCAGACACTGTGTTGAGTTTCTGTCAGACAAACTGGGTTATTGCCAGCTTTGATTGCATATTCAGTCACGTATTTCTTAAGGGCGGTTGTTTGGCTCTGTGCAGCTTTTCTTGCTGCCTGGTGGCAAATGTCATCAGGCTATTGGGCTCCAGGAAATGAAACGCATGAATCAGAACTTTGCTGTCGGTCAGCAAATATGTCTTGTTGAGACTGGCAGTGAATTGAAATGCATCGCTCCGTCCTTTATTTCGTCCAATCACTGTTGCCTCTGATAGTCTTCGCTCTGTGTGATGATGGGTGGAGGGGGAACTCGGCCTGTTGTGAGGAAACATCCATTCATGATTAGTATTTTACTGTGAGTGGCTGTTCAATGTTCAACTCGGAGGGTTGGGGGACAACGGGCGCCTTTGTTCCTCCCTGCCATCATATCACATCCCATGCTCAGAGGGTTTATAAAACTGTCACTAATCTGTTGGGTCTGTGTGTCCTGCCGGGGCAAAGGTCGCTCAGTCCACGACCCTGCCCCTCCCATCAGACGCACGCACATGCAAAGCAGCCACACATGCCATGGGGGACAACAGATATACGACGCTTTTGCGTAAGAAGTTCTTGATCGGTTCAAGCGTTTATGTAAATGGGACTGTTTGTCACACAGAGTGGCCGCCGGGGATCACATCACGACGGACGGATGACTTTGACCAGCACAGATAAAACTCCCAGAGTCCAATCGCCGCCTGCGTGAAATTAGAGAGGAGTGGAAAGAATCTGGCAGGGCGTCCCGCAGCTGCTTCCATCTACAGCTAAAGTAATTAAGGGCTTCTCTTGTACTCGCAGCCCATCGGAAATGTTTGTACGCCATTGTCAGCAAGACCAAAGTCGAGGATGACTACAGTAATCAAGTCGCCCACACCCATTTTCAACATAGACGAGCTCAGGAGGAGCACGGATTATCCTTTATGGCCGTTCATTGCCTCCCACCGCCCTCCGGCTAAAGGTTACATATTAGATGTCATCCCCATAAAAATAGGAACGATTTAGATTGAAATCCTTGGCTCAAAGTGACTTATAACCCCCGTAGCGCTCAGAATTGTTAAAAATAAAGTAGCACGCTGCTCTCTGATTGTTGAGCAGTAAATAATAAAGTGGTGAAGCAAATACTAAAGATTTTACCTCGTAATATTCAGGTGGTAACATTTGTATACGTTATTACTTAAATGGAGGGTGAAATCCATTGTTAAATGTATTGGGTTTCAACTTTTTATCTTAAACTTAAAATCTAAGCAAACATCGTTTTCAGTGTTTTTTTTTTCTTTTCCTCTTTATGTTTGTAGCCTTTCGTAAAGAGAGAAAAGAAAAAGGATCAATCAGAAAAGGTCAGAAGTAGAAAAATAAAAGCCAGAAATTGGTATCGGGCAGAAAAGGCCTGATTGGTTTGTCTCTATGTAATGACTACAAGTTAACCTTGTGACAGGGTTCTTTATTATTATTACTTTAAAATCCAAAAACTAAATCTTCAAAAAGCAGAAATATTTCAGAGAATAACCAAAGAGTCGACGCTGCGTTAACTAGAGTACATCTGTTTGAGCTACAGGTGACGTAATCGCCTGGGAAACACTGGGAAACAGATGACTGATCTGAAGCTCACCTGTGTGTGTTCTGAGCCTCACCTGAGGAAAGCGAGCCGCTGTCGCTCGGGGCTCCGGCTCTCATGATCCTCCCTGACTTGGGATTATTCTAGATGTCTTTGAGGGGGCAGACAAACATCATCGCGCTGCTCAACAACAACAACCTCCCCCCCCCATCCCACCTGCCGACTGACAACAACAGAGAATGACGCGGAAGGGCCACAATGAGTTTTGCAAAAGGTCAGAAAATTTCTGAATGACAAGAAAGCAAAGAGTGAGGGAGGGGGCTGCCGGGGGGTGTTTATTGTTCAGGGTGCCAGAGCTTCACCGTGCAGCTGGAGCAGATCAGACCAACGCAGAGGCAAACTAATGTTTATTTCACTCAGAATGCACTGCCAGTCGTGTCTTGGACTAAACTCTAAATGGGAGCTTGTTCACTACGGATCTGCTGCCAGGTATTTCACAATGGATTCTTGGATTTTTCAACAGGATTATGTGATTCCGACTGGGAATCACATAAGCACAGAGTCAGCTTTGAGGTTATAAAAGAAGAAATCTTTCTAACAGCGGCTGATTTCTGTTTGTCTCTGTAACTGGATTAAGTCTCATTTCTGGCAGATTGAACTTTTGATTTGTTTAGTTTTCTGTAGTGGAGCTCTGTTGTATATTCAGCTAAATCAGGGCTGTTGAAGAGAGACGGGGTCTGTTCCCCTTAGGCTAGCGGTGCGGTTCCTCTGTGTCGGCATGGTTACGTAAACATGGCTACGTAAACATTGTGTTTCCACATTTGAAAGACGATTTCAGCAGTATTTTTCATTTACTCTTTATATTTATAAGAAAATACAGTTGAAGCTGTCGTCCATTTTTCCTGGATTTCACATGATTAATGACTTTCTTCAGTTTCTGTAGTTTAAAAGTTGATGATGATGTTAAATTTATAGACCAAGTGTTGCCAAGATGCTCTCTGCTCCATGTGCTAGAGAGCATCACAGCGGTCCAAGAATAGATACCTTTTTCATACTTTTGCAGTATTAGTCACTTTTTTATTCTCAGGAGCAAAATCCTTTTTGACTTTTAATGATTTATAGTAGAGTTTCTATAAAGTACACCTAGATTACAGTGAAATGCCAATAAATAACTGTGCAGTCTAATATTAGGAGGTCTGTTATCTAATATAAACAATCAATGGAAGTAGAAGTTAAATTGGTAGAAGAAGCAGATAAAATAAATAATATAACAGATGTGATTATTTATCCATCATTTATTAAAATATGCAGTCACAAGGTAAATATTTTAGTCGCTCAGATTTTGTTTGACTGCTTCGTTCATGCTTGTGACGTTGGAAAGTCGATGTAAGGAAATTCAGCTTTCTTGTAGAGTTTTTATATTTTCTAATGGTCCGTTTGTTAATCGTAACAATGTAACTTACATGTTTCCACCGTTTTGTTCATTTATTTCCTCAGAATCTTCGTCAATAGAAGCTTGGCAATGGAGAAGATCAAGTGCTTTGGTTTCGATATGGATTACACTTTAGCGGGTAAGTTAAATATTCATTGACGTGACTCATTTGCTTTTGCAAAAGCAGAGATAAAAAATATATATCTGATCAGCTATGATGAAATTGCACTTAATATTTGGAAGTAAAAACCTCCTATGTATCAAGTTTTATTTTTAGTATTGTTTAACTTTATATGTTTGGATTTATTTATAAAACGTGTCCTTTGAAAATAAATAGAAAGATAAGATAGACTCTAGGCAGTTTCATTGTAAATAATGGATGAATTAATGAACGTCGCCTCAGCTCCAGATCCTGGTGATGTATTAAATTTCCAAAATGCCGAGGATCAGAAAAGGTTAGTTAAAGCGAGTTGTGTGAATATTTTGTGGGCCAAGCGTTTCTCTGTGTGCCCTACCTTGTCGTTCTCTGACTTCGCTCCAGTTTTTGTGGACTCCACACATCTAAAAATAAACGCTCACCGCCTTTGAAAAGCGGGTCACATTTGTTTGTGGGGCTCAGCAGCGGTGGCTCCCCTGAGGTAGGGATTCACTCGCGGATCCTCTGAGGCTCTGGAGGCCCTCGCTGCGTTTGGATAGCAGGAGATTTTCCAGATGCTCAGCTGTTGACGTGACTCATTTTATGGGAGCTTGTTACTAAGTGTTAATGTTTGCTAGAAGTGTGGCTATCGTGTATCTTTGGACAGTTTTCATCACTGAAGTCCCTCATCAGTTTCACTGAATAGCTGCTACCTAACATTGCCACCGGATGATGATGGCAACAGGCTTTTTTTTTTTTTAGGAGCTGTTCACATTTGTTTACATTTGTATAAACAATGTTGTTTAAAGAAACAGAAAGGTGGATGTGATTTGCACTCCAAACAGTTCTGATATAACGTCTTCTTTTTTTGGCGTTTCCTGAATGTAGTGCTGTAAAAAGTATTTGCCCCCTTCCAGATTTATTCCATCTTTTCTTTTCTATCACGCTTAAATGTTTCAGATCTTTAATCAAATTTTGATATCAGACAAAAATAACCTTAGAAAACACAAATATCAGCTTCAAAAAATTAAATTTATTACAGGTTGTCCTACCTGCTAGCTAGGTAGGTGTAAATACCTAGCTACCTGCTAGCTAGGTGAAAATATCTACTAGTGAGGTAGTAGCTCTTTAGCTACTACCTCACTAGTAGGTGTAGCTATGTAGTAGCAGGGTGCCAGAGCAAGTAGCTGTAAATACCTACTAGCTAGCAGGTATGTACATAACATACATAAGATATGTTATTTATTGGCAGTTGGCTGAACAAAGTTCATACATTTCTGTGGAGATATAGGTCTTCATTACAGTCTTAAAACGTCTCACATTTGAGTTGGTGAAACTTGCAAAAAGCAAAAGAAAGGAAAAGCCATCCAAACCATCGTTTTGGATTCCCAGGGCCACACACAGATTTGAAGCAGCTAAATGTGTTTTTATTTTTATTTTTACAAGCAGAACAATGTTGTGATCTAACTCCTAACTACCAGCTTATAAAGTGAAAACTCATTAAAGTTGGATCAGCTGCATAAGGACCAGTGAGACGGTCCTTTACCAAACCGCCCAATCAGAAGCCAAATTCAGTTTTATTTAAAGATCTGGGGAACATGGAGATCACATATTGCTACTGCATAAAGATTCCCAAATGTTTTTTTAGTCAAATATGGAAAATTACATTAAAATAGAAATGCAGTCTGTATTGTAGAAGAACCAGGTCCTCATCGTCAGATATAAACTGTTGGGTTGGGTTAGGATCCTCTGAAATGTCGTTTATCTTATATTGAAACTAAGAAATCTAACTTCTTATTGAGATTTTCTTAATTTAATATTTCAGTTTAAAGATAAATATCCCAAATATTCAATTTGTCACTGGCTTTAGTGACTAGTGTGAATGTGGATATTTGACCTCATTAGGTAAAAGATTGAACTAATTAGATTTTTGTCCTTTTTAAAGTGTGTTTGTCTCTTATTAAGATCACTTTGATTATTGCCTGCATAGATTTTTATGCAAATGTTTAATTATTAAATTAGCCAAAGCTAAACATCCCAGCCAGCTAAGTATTGAAACCTGTATTTTTTTTTTTTATTATTTATGTATTTGTTTACTAATTATTCAAAAAAAATGCATTTCTTTCCCGCATCCTATATGTTTTATATAAACATTATCAGAGCATTTTTTTGTATACCTTACAAAAAAGCTCTTTTATTCTGACAAATTTGCTTAACCTTATGAAAAAGTCAAACCTCAGCGAACTCTTAAGGGAACACCCCTCAAACATCACGTATTTGGTAACATTTTCTAAGCTAAATCAATATTAGATAGGTCAACCTCGCTTTATCTGTGCTACTGCTGCTAACGGGAGCACGACACTGCAACAGTTGCACCAGCCTGTTTAGACCCAGATTGCATTGAGATGCTATCAGCTTTGTCCTAGTTTTCCAGCAGACTTTGGGCTTAATGTCGGCCCCCGAGGCGGTGCCGGAGTCTTCGTATTTTTCCACAGTGGGCCTCACCGTGTCCTGGTTCTAAAACCAAGGCCTTCATTTGCACACTGATGGAAACAGATAAATTAAGACGCATATTGTTAGCTCCTTAATATAGACGGTTATGTGACATGGTTCAGTCACTGTGTCCCCGTTTGGGAGCCTTGGATTAGGTGGTGTGTTTGGAGAGCGGTGCGGGTTGTTTACCTTCTGGGTGATGGGTGTGCGTTACATTCGGGCCTGAGCTGACCTGGCCTGGCCTACAAAACCCCGGGGAGACGACGACAGCGCTCAGCAGTGGGAGCGGTGGGACTATAATTATCTGGCAATAATCTGATCAAGGATGTGATCGGACGTATTTGTGAAGATGAAGTCATGTCTCTCCGTGGCTCTAAGCAGGTTCTGTTTGTGTGTATCTAATGAAAGCAGAAGAAATGTGAGCTACATCTGGTTAGCACGGACCTCAGGAGAGCAGAAATGCTACACTGTCAAGCACGCAACAAGAAACGGTAATATAATAACAGGCCGCACCCAAATTATGCAACCATGAACTTCCAATCTGACTATGTTGTTGTTTTTTGGTGGACCCTTCGTTGTACCAAAATCAGAAGCTTTCTGTCAACACAGATTTGAATGAGGATGTAAGTAAAGTGGCTCAATAACTCTCTCCCATCACGCTAAATATCTGAAATGGCATCAAGTGACTTCAGTTACTTGTGAAAAGATGCTCTGTTGCTTTGAGAAGTTTTAAAGAAAGGCATGTTTTTTTTAATTGCTAAGAAAAAAAAGTTATTTACATTACTGATAGCCTGAATACTAACGCTAAAAGCTGGAGCTAACTCATCTTTTATTCAGTCAGTCCTCCAGCTGCCAAGTGACCAAACCAACAGTGCCATGGAAAAGTGTCATTTTGCAGATTTATTTTTTTTAATTACTTTATATTGCCATGTTTTATAAAATAAAAACAAAACTCAATAAAAATCCCTTTTGCCCTGACAGTTTTATTTATTAAAGGGGAAAGCAATCCAGAACAACCGTCTCACTGTAAGAAAAGTAGTTTTCTCCTGATCCTAGTAAACGGATTGCGATTAATGCCAACAAGTCTTTTTATGTCACCGTTGAGGAATTTTGGTCCTACTTTTCTTTGGAGAATCACTTAACCAGGACCTTTCTGACAAAAGAACTTCGTATTTCTGCAAAGCATTGCAGAAAACATGCAGTCAATAGTCTGCATTGACTGCATTGCATTGATTATAAGGATTTAAAAAACTTTTGAAGTAATTTGAGTTTGAACTTAGCCTGCCTGTGGAATGGAAACCTTGTTAAAATGGGAGTATGCGTTTCATTTGAGTTGTGGAGGTGTGTAATTATGTTTCAAGTTTACAATAAAAAAAATAAACATAGTTATGATAGATGGCCAGCCTGATTGACCTTTCATTCAGCCAGTACTGATTGTACTTGTGTGAGGGAACGAGCACACTCGGTGAAACCACTGAACTAAATACAGAGAGTGATGATGGCAAAGGTGATCGAGGGGAAACGACTCTCAAAATAGATGTTTTTTTTTAGTTTTTTTCTTTTTTCCCAGTTGTTTCGTGTTTTGCTTTGTACCTCGGACTTTCAAGAGGATTATGACAAGTGAGCCAGGAGGAGTGGATTGGGATGTTAGCAGCAGCTCTGGGCAGTGAGCCCAGACCCTCAGTTTACTGTGAGAAAAACAGAGGAGAGGAGGGGGCAGCCGAGCTGCAACACACTGCATGATTATAATGCAGGAAGAGGCTTGTTCTTACGGAGAGTTTTACTTGATCCAAAAATTAGCTAGTTTTCTTCAGCGCGGGTCTTTTTTTTTTTTAGCTTGCTGCTGTGTGTTTTTTTTAACAGAACACTGCAGATGTTTTCCTGTTTGCTGTCCTCCCACTTTACTGCCCCCTTAAGAATCATCAACCAGTTCAGCTCCCCTGGGTCCTTCCTCCCTGCGCCCCACTGGGAGCCCGACAACACACAGAACATTCTTTCTTGCGTATTTATAACATCTGACATATTCCTATTTTTCTCTCCCCTCCACCCCCAGCCTAAGAAAGCATTTTAATCTTGTTCCAGCCTTTTCTTAGTATCAGCCTGTGTTTGTATTTCCAGAGTATGGTGTAAATACGGAGTGCGGGCGATGATGAGGAAGAGCTTCATCAGTCTCCACAGAGCTCTCATGAACTGCAGATGAAATTTTAAGGCCTTATTATTTTCACACTCGATCAGCTTTCTTTGCGGAGCTGTGCGGCCGTCTAGAGGGGAAGGATCCACTGGAGAGTGAAAACATGTCAACAGAATAATGATATCAGACTCTGTCTTTTGGGCGCAAGTTAAAATTGGAAACATTGCATCAGGGCTGAAATGATTAATCGTGACGAATCAATTATTGATGTAATTGCCAACTAATTTAGTAATTGATTAATTGTTAACTAGAGTAAACTAAACAAAAAGTCAATATGCTGAAAGAACAACATACTCAGAGTAGTTATTAGGCCCAAACTGTACAAAAATATATACAGTTTGCATTTAAGATAAAATAAATAAAAACTAACCCAGAACTCTTTAATTGGCATAGTGTTAGCTAAAAATCTTTAAAAATAAATAAATAAATAAAATATCTCGTATGAGGCACGTCTTGCCATCCAATCATTTATCATTTAATCGCTAAATATGAGAAGCAAAGGCCTCCTGCAAGCTAAACAAGCTACAATTGTTTTAGGAGCTTCTTTAGCCTAGCACAGCTTTAGCCGTGCTCAGTATCTTCTTTTAATTTTCAAGCTTATCTTGACAGTATTCTCTCACCCTCTACTGGTATTGGTACTTCAGCAATCTTGGTTTAAATAGCATAGATCATATCTTTTCAGTCCAAATCTCAATCAGACAAATTGTTGTTGTTTTTTTTTTTAGCCAGAAAGCTAAATAACTTTAGTTGGATTCATCACTTCTAATTATTCTAATAGGGGAAACGCATTGAGATATTAAAAGACTTTTTGTTTCAAAGTTTCAGTTCATAGCTTCATAATTTGAACACTAAATGTCAAACATTAACAAAATAAAAGAATGTTGCAGATAGAAAATCAAACACAAACCTGTTCTGTTTCTGTTCAACAGTACTGTAAATCTATTAAAATGTGCTAACCTAAATATTTGTGCGTTTTGATATTTAGTCTACAAGTCACCTGAGTACGAGTCGTTGGGCTTTGAGCTGACGGTGGAGAGGCTGGTTTCCATCGGTTACCCCCAGGAGCTGCTCAGCTTCGTCTACGATCCTTCATTTCCCACCAGGTCAGACCAAACTGGACACAACAAGAGCTGACGGCCGACCCGCTCATCCCTCTTTTTCCTTAAATACCGAATGGTTCCTGTTAAACTGTAAAATGAGATGTTAAGCAAAGCATTATTCAAGTCCCGCCACATAGTCTCAGTTGGATTTAGGTCCGGACTTTGACTGGGCCGTTCTAATAGATGAATATGCAGGAAGGTGAACCTCCTCCCAGAGAAGCTCTATTTGTACTCAGAATAATTTTCTCTCTTAATTTACTCTGTGAAATTTCAAAAGCTTGTGATCTTGTTTTGCGATTTAACTCTGCTTTAAACTCCTCCACTACTGTATCTCTGTGTGTGGGTGTGTCTGATTAAAGGGGGGCAGACTATAAGTGCACACTGCATTTTTCATATTGTCAGTTGTAGCGTTTTTTTCCCCATTTGTGTCATTTCCCTGCCGCATCACAGTTATTCACTACTTGCTGATTGTCTATCACAAACAGTCCCAAGAAAGTAAAGTTTTTGGCTTTTGCTTCCCCTTCCTCTTCAGAGGCCTTGTGTTTGATACCATGTATGGAAACCTACTGAAGGTTGATGCTTATGGCAACATCCTGGTTTGTGTCCACGGGTTTAACTTCCTCCGAGGGTAAGCAGCTTTCCATTCTGCATCTCAGAAATAAATATATATATATATTTTTTTTTTTTTTAATTTATTTTTTTATTTTTTTCTTTCTTTGTTTTTTTTTTTTTTCCAGCCCTGATATCCGTGAACGATACCCCAACAAGTTTATCCAGAGGGACGACACAGAGCGCTTTTATATCCTTAACACACTCTTCAACCTGCCAGGTAAGGCTGGTGGAGACTGCTCCAGAAAATTTACTCCCAAGTAAAACTCTGACTGACTTAATTTTCATTTTATTTTATTCTTTTAAAGAAACCTACCTTTTTGCTTGTCTTGTGGACTTCTTCTCCAACTGTGACCGATACACAAGGTAAGAACGTCTCTGCCAGGCTGCACGTCGCGCAACAACAAGTTTCTGAGTTCTGCATGTTGACACAAAGACATTTGCAAGCCACACAGGGGCGAGAGCAAATGGCCCAAAGCATGGGAGCGTCCTGGTGTCCTAAAGGCTAATGTCAGCTAATTCTTATTAAACGGTTTCCTCCTGGGGCTTCAGTCAGACCTGTTTTATTTTTAATAGAGTTACAGAATTAATACCAGACAGTAGGCGCATGGATCCATGTCAGATTAATAGCAGTAAAAGGAAATCTCACTAACTATCCACATAAAATGAAATAATCTCCCACAATCTTGTTAGTACTTCTGTAAAGGAGGATTAATGGCCTGTAATTGATTTTTAATTTCTTTTGAGAATGTAATCTGGAATGGCTGCATGTCCTTTGTCCTCTGAAACCTGGTTGTTGGTCTTTTAGGGGGAGAATGCTTTCCTGTTTGGCTGGGGACCCTCCAACAAGGGAAGGCTATCCCATTTAAAAGCAAACAAAAAGAAACAAATGTCATGTTTTTAAAGACCCTCTGTAAAGATATGGCCTGTCCGACGGCTGTGCACGTGTCTCTCTCTCCCCCTCCCCCCACTCTAGCTGTGAAACGGGCTTCAAGGACGGCGACCTCTTCATGTCCTACAAGAGCATGTTCCAGGACGTTCGGGACGCGGTGGACTGGGTTCACTTCAAGGTAAAGTTCATTGATTTAAGTAACATTATTATTTTCAGCATGCCAGAACATGTCGTGTTACACGTTTTCCTTTGCTCTTTTCAGGGAACGCTGAAGGAGAAAACTGTGGAAAACCTGGAGAAGTACGTAGTGAGAGATGTGAGTACTTTGCATGCAGCAGGTGTCCGCTGCTGCGAGAGCCACACACATTGTGTCACGTTCTTTGTGAAGATGCTTAAAGCTTTTTTTTCTCTCTCTCTCTTTTCTCTCCTCTCTGTTCCCATCAGGGGAAGCTCCCACTTCTCCTGAGCCGGATGAATGAAGTGGCCAAGGTTTTCCTGGCTACCAACAGCGACTACAAATACACAGACGTGAGTGCAGACGGCTAACCGTTTAGACGAAAACAACAAAAATGTTTTTTTTTTTTTATTATTGTTAGTTGTTATTCGATTTTTGATTTACATCCAAACACTTTTTCCCCTCACAGAAAATCATGACTTACTTGTTTGACTTCCCCCACGGCCCAAAGGTAGGATCGATTTTGCTGAGATTGCAGGTAGAAAGTAAAAAACGTGTCACTTTACTGTCGGTATTTTGGTAACTCGTGTGGTTCGTTCCACAGCCCGGCACCGCTCACAAGCCCTGGCAGTCCTACTTCGACCTGATCCTGGTGGACGCCAGGAAGCCCGTCTTCTTCGGGGAGGGAACCGTCCTCAGACAGGTCGACACGGTGAGCGGACACGAAGCAGGACTCTGACTCTGTGACCACATCAGATTGTCCTCAGCGTTTGGACAACTTATAATTTTTGAAAGCAGGTTTCCTCTAAATAAAGTCAAAGCGAAAACGGTTAATGCAATTTGCGTCCAAATGCGAAAGAAACCAGTCCAGTCGTTAACTTTAAAAACACAAATGTGTTTAGTCTGATGAAGATCTTTACTTGGGTGATTTTTAATTTTATTTGCGTCCTCGATCCAGACCACAGGACATCTAAAGATTGGAACCTACACAGGACCTCTGCAGCACGGCATAGTGTACTCAGGAGGTGAGACGATTTTCAGTGTTGCTGCTTATTGCTTCTTATTTTTAGCATTAAAGGGCCGGAGGCGTCATTAATGAACATGTTATTACCCTAAGGTTCCTCAGACATCATGTGCGACCTGCTGGGGGCCAAAGGGAAGGACATTTTGTACATCGGGGACCACATCTTCGGAGACATCCTCAAGTCTAAGAAGCGTCAGGGCTGGAGGACGTTCCTGGTGATTCCTGAGCTGGCGCAGGAGCTGCACGTTTGGACCGACAAGAGCTGTGAGAGAGAAACACTGTTTGGATTTCATCCTTCGGTGCCACGAGAACTTCAAAATAAAACCCGAGTCAAAATTCCTAGACAGCCTCAAAGAGCCAGAAGGCGTCGGCTGCAATTTCTTCTTTTTCTGCAAAAAAACTAATTACTAAGTGATTCGATCTGAATAGACTTTAATACTAGACAAACTACAAAACCAATAAAGCTAAGTAAAAGTTGATTATGTCACAAGCTGGAAAGTTTTGCATCTTTTTTTTATTTTTTTTATTTAATTCAACCAAGACTGAAAATGACCAAATTTATACCAAACTGCTTTTTAATATAAATCTGTATAAAAATAAGGGAGAAACCGTCACACACTGTTAAACTTACAGACCTTTAATAATGAAACGTGAATTACATTTACCAGGTTGCAATATTTTAACATTAATAATGTTTGAAATGCATTTTAACATAAATATATATATGCATGCAGCCTGTTTAACGGTCCAGGTTTTAAAATACTAGTCAACGTATGATCGAATTGATGCTGATTTTAATATTTTACCATTAAGTGTGTTGACCTTAAATCATATTTGTTTCAGATAATAAACTAGAGTCACATCATGGCAACAACATGGAAGGTTAGAGGTTAAAACGGTTTATTTGATTCATTTAATTGGGACTGGTCTTTGTACTTTAAAAAAAATGAAAACTATTTACAAATATTTACAGTACAGTCATTATTGTCACTGTACGTATTTTGCTTAAAATGTTCTAAACACTTGATATTGTTTTGGTAAATGTTTTTACTTGGATATCATTCATATTTTTGTCTCCATGTTTAGCTCTGATGCTAGTTTTAAAAAAACCCCAAGGATTTTATTTTGCATTTATGTTTTTTTAAGAACACATTTTTGTTTGCAAGGGATATTTGATGTGACGTTATTAGAGGGTGAAGGGTTAAGTCAACAGAGAACATCCTCATCAGTGACACTTTGCTTCTCCTTTTATGTTTCGCAGCGCTATTCGAGGAACTTCAAAGCCTGGACGTTTTCTTGGCAGAGCTGTACAAGTAAGAGCTGTTCCCCTTTGGCCTCTTTTCGTCCACTTCCTGTCTCGAACATACCCCCACCCCCTGTCCTCCCGTCCCGGCCGTCCCCACCGCCGCCTCTGCTGCACTTTGCTCTCCGCGGCCCGCCCGTGTGAAGGCATGCGCGCTGAGAGTGGAGGGGTCGGCCCACGCAGGCCACCTGATAACTACATTTGCTGGCCGTATTTATAGCCCGCCACGGCTCGCTGTTACACCGCCTCCTTGACTTCCTACGTTTCAGCGAACTGATATGCGTTTCCGCCCCACGCCCTCGACCCGGAACTCATCGTCTTTCTCCTCGTCTTTCCTCAGACATCTGGACAGCAGCAGCAACGAGAGGCCCGACATCAGCACTATTCAGAGACGAGTCAAGGTACGGCCCCGTGTTGCTGTTTTTAACCCCTGCACCATCTTTGTCCCCGAGCTTTTAACGCCAAGCTGGAGAGTTTCTTCATCGCCCTACATTCTCCCGACGCCTCCTCCTTAGATTGTTTCCGTTTGGCCGTTTTCACCGATTCAGAATAAAAGGCAACGTTTCTTCTTCTCGTTTCCTCCTTTCAGAAAGTCACGCACGACATGGACATGTGCTACGGCATGATGGGGAGCCTTTTCCGCAGCGGCTCCAGACAGACTCTGTTCGCCTCCCAGGTGATGCGTTACGCCGACCTGTACGCCGCCTCCTTCATCAACCTGCTGTACTACCCCTTCAGCTACCTGTTCAGAGCCGCGCACGTGCTGGTGAGTGTCCGACCGGAGGGAGACAGAACCTTAAGGTCACTCCAGGTCCACTGGTACTGATGCAAACCTGCAGCTCAGCCTGTGGAGTTTAAGCTCCAATAGAAGCTGAAGTTTGTATTTCTGCTCATGTAAAGACTTTGTTTTGATTTCTATTTAAGTATTTAAGCATTTAATTTGAGCAACAAGGTCAATTACCTTAAAACAAATGGATTTGATCGATGTGATGAATATTTTTATTCCAATTATTGTTATTATTGATCTATAAAATTTGAATAAGAGTGGGGTTTATATTTTAAATGTTATTGAAATTGGGTGATTTTCTTTTTTCTTTTTTTTTTTTGTTAAATTTGTTTTAGTTTTGTTTTTTCTCAGGCCAGTCAGGTGTATAAAGTGTAGGTGAGAAATTTTCAAGACGTAAAATTTGCATTTTTAATACTATAATAAGAATAAGAAAAATAGCAGCTCTCGAAATAATACAGAACAACTGGGGTGTTAGGAAAGATCAGGTTTTAGATGGGTTAGCTGTGTTCAGGGAAACGACAGCTCTTGGGTAGAAACATGTTTTTTAGTCTGTTAGTCTTTGACTTTATTGTCCTGAAACGTCTCCTTGAGGGCAGGAGTTTGAAGACATTGTTAATACTAATAATATTGTTTAATAGAAAACCGAAACGGTGTTCTTTAGCTCATTTGTGACGCTGGAAAAGATTTAAAACTTCACCAACGAACTCTGGATTTTAAACATCTGCTAACCATAATTTCCTCGTTTCTCCATTAAATATTTGCTCGATGTCCCTCAGATGCCTCACGAGTCAACGGTCGAGCACGCCCACGTGGACATCGACGTGGAGTCGCCGCTCGCCACGCGCAACCGCTCCCAGTGCAACGACTGCAAGGACGTGGAGTGCAAACGCAACCACCTGACCCGCTCCTTCAGCGAGATCAAGCCTCCCAACCTGTTCCCCCAGACGCCCCAGGAGATCACGCACTGCCACGACGAGGATGACGACGAGGAGGAGGAGGAGGAAGAGTAATAAAACACCCTGCAGAGTTGAGCCATGTTCCTGTTCCCCGTCGCCTTACGTTTCCTTATAGAGTCGAATGATGATCTCGAGACGGGAAGGAGAAACGCCTACTGTGTGCGTTTGTGTGTACTTACATTTACTGTCAATGTAAATCGATGCACATGGACACGCAAACACACACACACTCGAGAGATTTCTAAGAAAAAAAAAAAATATTCGAAGGACCATTAGGAAGAAGAGATCACACTCATATGTCAGAAGAATAACACGCATGCTCGACTCTCAAATCGAAAAAACAAAAAAAAGCCACCCTGAGCAATCATTTCATGAAACGCTAGTTTTTAACGTATTTTTATAACCAAATAATGTTTACGCTGTAATCCTGCAAATACGGTTGTTATACTATACCTCTCACTATGAGACAAGCTAACAGGGAATGCGCGGGAAAATCGTCTTGACTGTTGAAAACAGACATTTTCCTGCTGTTTGGGAACAACGTTTTTAATCCGTCTAGCTTGTTTTCTAACTCGTGCATGAAGAACTGAATCTTCCCCGCGGGCAGTAGGGATCGGTTTTCCTAAACCTCAGGATCTCGATGTGCGTCGGGGTCAGTGGGGAGTTGAGGACGTAGTACTGTAGTCTCTGCAGGAGCCCTGACATACTGTAGTGGTTACGTAACTCGCCACATGGCAGACGACTTGTTATAGCTGCGTCACAACAAGCAGGCCGACCCACACCGTTTCATTTTGGTTTGGTCTTTTTGGAAGATGAAGTTTGAACGTTGTTTTACACTATTGATGAGAAACGGACTCGCTCGGAGTGAAGGGATTTCTTTTTGTTGTTTTTTTTTTTATTTTTTTTTTTTAAGGTGCCACTATGTGAAGTTCTTCAGTGTATGAAGGTGTTTTTATCGTCACATATGCAGAGTCCTCAGCATCAGTTATCAAAGGAAACGTGCAGGCGGTGGGTGTGTGTACAGTATTCCTCTGTCTGCCTAGTAACACTGTGATCATTAGAGTTAAAGCTGTGGTACTTGATTTTAATTTAAAAAAATAAAAGATTAGAGAGAGACCAGACTCTTAAAAATTATTATCCCATACTAGCATTGCTATTTTAATGTTTGTAATCTTTGGTTGGGAAAAATATACTTTAAAAAACTAGGTTTCAGTTATGATTCAAGTGCAGTTTTGCGCAAAGATTTAAAAAGAAAAAAAAAACATTATTATTTTTTTTACCGACAGACGGTGCGGCTCCTCCTCCTCCTTCTCCTCTTCCTCATACTTGGCTGTGTGACTCTGCAGCGTCAGCAGCTTGAAGCCCAATAGCCCGTCTATGCAGTGAGCTTCAAGCACCAGATCACTGCAGCCGCCCAGCCTTCCCCAACATAAAACTAGATGCTCACTTTCCCTGGTTTCACAGATTTCAGTAAAATTTACCTATTCGGGTTGTTCTAACCACCTTTTATCCTCCATCCTGTGATGCGTTTTTAAATTCGGATTTCTCAGCTGCTTTAGTCTCGATTTGTCATTGGCTGGCAACTGATGGCAAGTAAGTTTCTGTTCGCAGGAATGTTTTGTCTTTGTGATGTGATAATCGCCCGATCGCAGGGCGAACTCCTAACGCCGTCACCACCGTTTCCCCTCAGAATACGGTGGAGAAATTTCTCCCAAACTACAAGTAAAGAAAAATTGTCAATTCCAACATTTACTTGTGGAAAATGAGATAGATAAGGTTGATTTGGACCTTGAATTCTTCAGATTGAACGGGTTCATCTTGAAATAACACAACGCCAACATTTTACCTGGAGGAGAGCCGAGGAATCACTACTTGGTGGAATAAACCAGACTTTTCGTTATTTTAACAGTAAGAAATTATTTTAGCTTCATTGGGAAAATGTGTTGCTTTAAGCAATAAGATCCAGTTTAAATGTTTGTCCAAACATGACGATATTATGAAAGCTTTGGTATGTTGGTCGAAGTTTCCAAACACCTGTGATCAATGGAGCTGAATTGAAACTATGACTAAAAATGCAGAGAATAGTTTTTTGCGAGACAGTGACCGTATCACAGCTTCTGGAGATTCTTCTTCTTTTTTTTTTTTTTTTGACTTTGCTTACTAAATGCTAAATGTCCACTGACATTTCTCCAGGGATCTTGCTCATTTTTACTCCACAGACAAAAAAATAAATAAAAAATCTTCAGTGGTGATTAGATTTGATTAAAGTTTTGCACGCAGAGGGAATGTGTTGCTGGGAAAAATAAGTTTTCAGGGTTTTAAACCAAGGTTTAAAATGGTATTAGTGTTCATGTGAGTGTTGAAGCAGACTGCCTGGACTTCATTTTTCCTTTCCTAACATGCTACGTTTTCAGGTGTTATTGAAATTGTACGGCTCTGATCATTTTGGCCAGGAAAGGAAAGGTACATTTAATCTATTCTTGGTTTTTCCATATTTGGTTTGGTTTGGTGTGAGCTGGAGGGATGTGAATGTTTTTATTTTTTGTTTTTTTAGCTTAAAGTGTCACTTCTGTATTTGATGTTGATAGGAAAGATCACAGCTGTTTGTATTCTTTTTTTCTTACAAAGAAATCTTTTTTTTTTTGTTTTCATCTTTGCAGAAGTGGGCATGTTGCAGAAGGCATCTGTAAAGCTAATGATGAAAGTTGCATAAACTTTCATCAGTTTATATATATATATATATATACACATAACTGCAGTTGGTGTCCATTCTCACTCGACGGTTATTTTGTCTCTAAAAAAGAGACATTGGAGGTTTTCCCAGTGTGTCAGCGTAGTTTACACTCATGAAACGGCAAACCTGTACAGAAAATCTTAAGTCAGAAGAAGTGGGGTTAGTATGAAAAGTACAATTACTATATTAGCTGAGGTTCTTATTTTTCTAAATAAGTATTTTTAAATGGTCTTGGTTTAAAGAACTGTAGATGGACCTTTTTTATTTTATTCAAAATAACTTTTTATTTTCTTTTTTTAACCCTACCACATAAGTGTAATCTTCAGACCTTACTAATAAGGCCTTGTGAAGAGCATTAGGCTATAGGAAGTTATTTTTTTCCATCCTTGTGTTGCTCAGAAACATTAACAGCCTCCCCACATTTTCTAAACTGTCCTTTTATTTTTATGCATATCGGATTATGTTCCTCTGAACAGTGTTTGTTTCCTGAAATGTTCCTTTAGACTGTATATTGAAATCATTACATGAAAATCTAGAATAAAGATAGTTTTTCATAATTTGTGGCTCTGGTTTTGTTGGATATTGAGGGGAAAATGATGAAATGTTGCTCTTAATGCTCAGAGGATGTACGGAGGTTGACTGAACAACAGTGGCAACTTCTTCATAATGTAAAGGCGATTATGTGACATCCTCCAAACCTCAGCTTTACATTTAGACTGCTGAAGTGTCAGCTGTTCTGTTCAGTCTCACAGACACTGTTGTGCAGTGCACCAGCATCCACTGACTCAGCATTTTATCTCTGCTGAGTAAGCAGAACCTGAAGTCCTAAAGACAACCAAATGAGATTGACAATCACACTATTTTAGAGCTCTAAAATCAAAGCCTTGATACATTCTGATCTTATACAAATATATTTATGACTGCAGTTCTGGCAAAACAAAAACAAAAAAAAAAAAAAAAAGAAAACAATCTCTTCAGGCCTTGTAGCACGGAGACGAGATCAGTGTATTTTGGCTAAAGGATAAGAAAAAATGGCGTCCACACGACAGGATGCAGCGCCACAGAAAATGATGTACTAGCTATGCCGGGCCAGTCGGTGGCGCTGTAACACTGCCAGAAAACGACACAAACAAACAAACAAAACACCGAACGGCGCCATGTTTGTTATTTTTTGAGAGTGAGGGGCGGGATAGTCAGATGGAGCTTTAAATTTTTTTTTTTTTTTTTTTTTTTTTTTTTAAATGCGGCTCACAGGACGACAGCGACACTTGAATTTTCAAGAATTATCCTTTCTGGTCTCCCAAGACGCCGGATTTGTGTGACTGCACAACCCAAACTACAAAAGACAACTCTCCCGTTTCATCTGTTAATCATTCACTTTTTTATTAAACCACCAGCTGAAAGAGGCAACAGGAATGTCGTGCTCAGGTAGAAGCATCAGAGCAGGTAAAAACACACCTTCACAGCATTCACACGAAGAATGGAGTTGTCAGTTTAGAATAAAGGAGAATGCACGTTTTCTATTTCCTGGAGTATTAATATAAACCCCGTCACAGCTGATGCCCCAACACTGTTTCCTGTTGTGCGTTCATAAAAACAATAATATATTTGTCTTTTTGAACTTCCGCGGTATTTCTTATTCTTTTGTTAGGCACTGGGACCCACAGCCTTGTTTAAACGTTGCATTCAAACATTGTTTTAGCTTAGGGGAGCGACTGTTCCAGCAGAGCAAGGCGGGATTGCTGCATAAGGAGCACTTTCAAGTAAACAACAATAATAATAGTAAAAAAAAAAAAAAAAACAAAACAGTGAGCACAGCTGCAAACTTAGCAGACGCGATCTGTGTCTGGTTATGAAACAGGAGGGGACACCCTTTCGTGGCGGAGCAGATGGGTGGACTATTTTGTCTCATTTCCCAGGCCTTCTGATACACACTGAAAACACGCACACATGGAAAAACACGAAGAAACAGCGACCACCAGTGGTTACTATCGGGAATTACATTTTAAAGAGACTAATTCAGCCTTAAGAGACATTTTAATCTTGCTATAAAATAAGAAAAATACACACACACACACACACAAACATGTGAATGAACAGGCGTGGAAACTCCTATTTTCATTAACATCTGCACAGAGTTACTTTACTTTCCAGCACACAGTGCATTAAAACTCTGTCCTGTGAGGTAAAGTATAAAAAAAATGGCAAGAGACTACAAATATACTCTTAAAGAAGATTTTGGAAAACATGAACAGAACTGCTTGTTAAGCTAGATGGGAAGATGGTTTTTTTTTTGTCTGAAACAATCAATTTTTTGTATAATATAAATATCTAATCTTTGCTCATTCTTGTCCTGCCTCTCCTCCAAGTCTAAAGCAGACATCTTTCAGCTGACTCAACAAGAAATCCAGTCAATATTTTCCAATAAAACAAATTCTCTGAACATCCCAGGGATAGGCAAAGACTTTTTAATAAAAGTATCTGTTCAAAGGTGGTTTTCAAACATATTAGACCCGAAATGTTGTTTTTATTCTAGCTTTCATCTACCCTGTGTGTGTGTTTGTTTCCACAAAGTTAGCAGATGCTGATGTCTCTCGTGTCGACTGATGTTGAAGAGAATTAAAAGCTTAAAAGATTTCCATCAATAAAACTACAACTGATGCTTTTATGGCATCTACGTTTTAATGCTTATATAGAGTCTTTACAAGCCGTACAGAAAGGTGTAATTTGAAGATGTTTGCTGCAGGTATTAAAATCTGGTGTGGTAGCCAGAAAGCTAGCATTTACACTGTGAAGCTGCTTTAGGATCCCTTTAAAGATGAAGTTGGCAACAATTACAGTTATTTCATAAATAAAACTCTATAGTTCACATAGACACTGGAAGAAAGGGACCGTAGTATAGCTAGCTAAAGATAGCTAGCATGAATTCATTAGCTTTCAACAAGCTAATTCATGGCTGAAAACGTTTTCATCATGAGGTTTATCGATAACAACAATTAAAACAACATGATCAATAAAAGCTGTGCTGTTTGCTTAATGCTAGTCAGGAACAAGATTAGGTTCAGTTTTAGTTGTTTTGTTGCTTTTCTGTCACTTCCCATGTTCACACCAGTCAACGTCAAAAGGCTTAAACATGCAAAATTGTTGATTACAGGACAGCTTCGCCCTTACAAAAAATTTCTAGATTTTCTAAGAAAATCTAAATAATCTGAATTATTTTAGACATCTTCAGGAAGGGGTTTGTTGTTGTGCTGGCACTTTTTAACTTGTGTTATTATTTTCATAAGTTATACGAGAGGTTGGGAGCTAATATTTACAAAATAATCCTATAATTGGTGTAACTTTAAGAGCAGTTTTTAGTTAAAATTGCCAATCCCTGGAATATCCTTTAAAATATGTTTTAATCATGCAAATGAAACACAATCAGCTTACCTCCGGTAAAAATCAGAACGATGTATAAATATGTCTCTTTAATAGCAGCCAGCATTGTTGAAGAACATCTTAAAATCGGATCAAGTCAATAACTGTTAACTACAATAATTATTAACTACAATCTGCAGGGAAGCCAAAACAACGTGACAGCCTGGTGTCTGTCACGTTGTCCAAAAAAGCTTAAAAAAAAAAACAAAACAAAACAAACAAAACAGACATATTCATAAGCAAAACAGTGGAGAAGCATTAGCTGTGCATCATTTAATGTCGAGGTTGCTCTTTCTGACGTGTTAGGACGAGGTCATTAATACTGTGCAGTTCTTACATTTGATTGAACTAAAGGCATAAAAACACTTGAACCTCACATGCATAGATACCTTTGTTGGTTGGCACTTTCACTCCCTCCCCACCCAAACTATGACGCTGCAGTAACTGGTGAAGGCGTCACTTGAGCCGGACGTGCTTGAGGTCGGTCAAAAACGTGACAGAAACAAAGAGGAAGAGACGCAGCTGAGCGCATCTCAGAAACAAATATACAGACAGCACAAACATACAAATACATCTGCCAACTTAGAATACACTGAATTATCTTCTTTTATAATCATCTCTTAAATAAATCATTGTTCATTGCACTTTGTTAAAGTAACTAATTACAGAATTTCTCTCCAAGGCAATAATGTGATTTGCTTTTTTTTTTTCTTTTAAAAGGTGAAAAAGATACTATAAGCCTGATTTAGGATAATAGTAAAAATAATAAGATCTTCAATATACATAGTTTCTGTAAAAGACTCTCACCTCCTCATATACATGAGTGGCTGTTCATATATGTAGCATGTTCTGGGGATGCATGCTCTTAGTTTATTTTTTCACTTCTCCACGTGTACATATATACATACAATATTATAAAATAAATAAATACAAGAAAACAAACATTCTTGGTTCTCGGTTTAGCGGTTTCTTTTGGTGCAGTCTGTGACGAACCGTCGCTCTGTGTGTGAGTCTGATTGGACCAGCAGTCGCCTGAGCCTCCCTGCAGGGAGCACCGGAGCGGAGGGTTTGTTTCAGTGTGACGGGACGGAGGAGGATGGCGGCGGGATGGGGGCGGGACCAAAGTCTTTGGCCTGAAGAGAAAGTCCAGCGAGCTTTGCATTATGTTGCGAGCGGACCTGCACTCCGTCGTCCTCCAGTCCGCTGAAAAACTCGTTTCACTGGTTCTGACAGTACAGCGGGGGGGGCTTCTGGAGACCCATCGTCCCCGCTGCTGCCATCGACCCCTACAGTGGAAAGGTCTTCACTGACTGAACTGGGGCTTCAGGTTGGAGCAGAACCCTGACTCCGCCCACTTTCCCTCTTCACCTAACACCACTGCTCCATGCGTGTCCAGGGGACAAGGTGGAGGGTCTCTCCACCGGCCGCAGCGGGGGGTTGAGGGCTACATGGGTCCCTCGTTGTGGGCGCTGTGGTTGCTCCAGCTCAGGCCCAGGTTCTGGCCCACACAGTTATGCTGCGGGGTCAGCAGGTGGGACGTCTCGTTGGCCATGGCGACGGCCACGGCGGGGGAGGTGCTCGTGGTGCTGGCTGTGGTGGTGACGATGGCCGGGGTCTCCACGCCGTCGTGAAACTCTGTCAGCGTGAGCTCGATCTTGGTGAGCTCGCTGTCCGTGGACTGGGGCGTCTTGTCCATCCGTGACGCCATCACGGCGTTGTGGTACTGCTGCCGCGTTACCTGGACAACAGAGGAGTCGCTGCTGGGGTCACTTCTCGCAACAGATACCGGACACGTTCATAAAGCACCAATGGTAAACACCGTCTGCGGAACAGTGTATAAATGCAACATGATACAAAACAAGAAAATGACGTTTTGTTGTTAACATATGAATTTATGCCACACTGTGAAACACCTGAAGGAGGTTTAACTTGTTCACAAATGGAGGTTCATCTGTTGCCATGAAAATGCAAGTACCAGTAAGGTCAACCAGAAACTTGTTTAGGTTTTAACTCAGTTTTGTGTTGTTTAATAATTGTTACATATTCCACACCAGGTGGGTAGACTGGTCAGAAATATTTAGAATATCGATAGAAGTTTTAGGATTTCTCATTTGTCTTTGGTAAAAGACTTTGAAACATTTCTCCCTCTATTGTTTGTATTTACCCAGAATGCCCTGCAGTATAGTCCGCTTCCTGCTTTTGGAGCGGTCTCTAGTCCGTTTGGCATTCAAAAAGTGCCAGACGTCACTTTAATCGAATTGAGGCCTAGGTACAGATGGACCAGAGTTAACTTTTTTTGGTCTTTATCAAAGTTTGATTATCTGTTCACACCTAAAAAAACGTTCCGGACTTTCTATCAAATGGACCAGAGTTCTAATGAACAGGGCTGGTGTGAATGCATCCTAAAACTCACAAGATTTCATCGACGTAAAGAGCAAACGTTAGCAGACACAACTAAAATGCAGCTGAAATGTTTTACGGTGCATTAATATAAACTACATGAGCTTCAGGTGCACATGTCAGGCTTTTGAGCCTCCGTGTTCTCTGGCCGGGTCCTTGCAGCTATTCTCACCTTGATGTACCGCAGGTCCGACCTCGCTCTGACAGAGTAATCGGGGACGTACATATGAAGCAAGGAGTTGAGCTGGTTGTTGCTGTTGCCCAGCGTCGGCGTGATGGCCTCTATGCGATCGCTCCTGTTCAGAGAGTCTGAGTGGTTCAGGCCAAATGAGCGCGGAGGAGACTTGTTCTCTGTGAGGACAGAAGAGGGTGAGGAGGTCAAAACATGTGACTGAGCAGAGGCCAACGGGGCATCACAGAGCACTGGTCAGGTATTAAACACAGTCCAAGAACACGAATGATTGCTGTAATTATTTTTCAGCTTACAAGTTTCTATCAATGGACTAATTAGACACTTATTTCACTCACAGAGGGTCAGTTTCATTACAAAGTGACTGAACAAGGCTAGCTGGGACGCTTTTTGACACGTGAAAAGAGGGAAACTGTGTCTCTTTGACATCCTACACGCATTGTAGATATCAAAACTGTTCACACTTCTTTTAGAATGAATGGCACCTTAAATGTAAAATATGTATCCAGTACACTCACAGTAAAGCGTCATGCTGCTGTTCAGATAGAACAACAGGTTTCTTTTTTTTATTTGTCAAGATGGTTTATATTATTTATAGTTCTTAATGTCTGTTATAATCCAAAATGTTCAGGTTTCAGCAAGAAAGTCGAGGATGGAGAGAGATTCCAGTTCAAACACAAACCAAAAGCAACAGAAGAGCTGAAGTCTTTATAGTTGTTACATATTAGCACAGCGGTTTGCTGTGATGTATGGAAATCTCATTTGTAGGTAAACCCTGCGTGTCCAGGGATGCTGCTGCCGATTTTTCATGTGCCACCGCCCAGAAGATTTGCTCTGTTATTGTTTTCTTCCCTCTAATTTTTAATTAAAGCCAGATTATGTTTTCCACTCCTTAAAGACGTGGAAATCACACACAACAAAGTGGAAACGGCTTGGCCGGCTCTAATGCTGCTACATGGACTGGAATGTATGTAATCCCACGTCAGGATGTGTGTGTGTGTAGGTGTGTGTGGGCCAAAGACCTGGCATGTGAACTCTGATGGATTAGTACTCCACTTTCTAGGTACCGGGTCAACACACAAAGAGGCGGTGTGCGCTTGTCGCTGAGCCAGTCGCCGCATCGTAACAGGTGGAAAAAGAGGCTCAATGTGGCTGTTTCTGTTCAGGCAGAAACATGAGGGTGTGTTTGTGTGGACATGGGGTCTGCACATGTGGACATACGTATGTGCGCTGTCCAGCAGGGGGGCTGTAGCTGCAGGTCTTGTTTAGACAGTGGGAGGGTTAAAGGTCAGGGGCGAGTGGGGGCGGAGTCTGGTTCCACTGTGGGGCCTCCGGACTCAGACATCATTCAGACACTTGACTAATGGCTCAGGGGGCGAGGCCCTTGAGTCTGTGCTGCTGCGTTCTTGAACAGCAGGATTCATAGTGAGCAACAAACAGCACAACAAGGATCAATGAAAACTCTCGGTATAAAATACTGAAGTTCACCATCAGGCTATACAGATGAAACCTGTGAAAACGAGACTAGGAGAAAGGAAATGAGGTAGAATGGAAGGAAGGGAGGAATCGGTGAAGGAGGGAAAGAAGATACAAAGGCAAAACAAGGAATGACGTAACATAAGTAACATTTGAAAGAGAAAGAAAAGGCAGGAAGGAAGGACAGACAGAAGAATGGAAGGAGAGGATGGACAGAAGGAAACGGAACAAGAAAGGAAGGAGTAAAACAGGAAAGAAGGAAGGAAGACAGAGACTGGACAGAGAACAAGGATTGAAAGAAGAAAAGACATTAGGAAGGTAAGTCTTAAAGTAGGGAAGAAATGAAGGAAGGGCATATTTAGATTAATCCGGAAATACATAAATTTTTCTGAAATCTTATTTTCTCTTCCAAACTTATCCAGATCTGTAAATCAATGAAATCAAACATCAGATTTTTCCGGATTGTGCGCTAACCCTGTTAGTTCCTGGCTGGAGATATAATTAGTAAAATGGGCATTAAAAAGGACAGAAAAAGTCACCATACCTGGAGATCCCGCTAATGATTCTGCCCTACTGACGGTGAATGTACGAGACAGAGACAACGGCACTTGGGAAGAAGAGGGAAAGGACATCGTGAGGAGAAAAGAGCAAAAGAAAGGAAGAAGGAAAAAAAAGTGTCAGTAGTGTAGAAATAATCAATAGTTTAAAAATTATTCAATCCGTGAGAGAAGTTTCAATCAGAAGCAATTAGTTTTCAGAAAAGGAGGTCTGAAACATCAAACTGTGTTTGGTTTGATTTCACTTAGAACTAGAAGGGATGTATGTTCCACCATTTCACCACCAGGTGTCTCCCTAAACCCAACGACAGAGAGAATCTGAACATGGCGTCTGTGAAGTTTATGAATGAAGTGGGAGGACTGAGTCAATCACCAGCTGATGTTCTCTGGTGACGTTTGTCCATGACGTCATGCTGCCTCTTTAAAACAGCCACTCAATCACTGATTGTTTACTTAAAAACAAGAAGCTTTTTTAGGTCCTCAGAATACAAAACATGAACAGAGAAGGGCTACGAAAGATATTTGCGAAAGTATAATCTTGAATTTGAGGTTAAACATAAATCATATATTGTAATCTTTTGAAGACTTGCAATTAATTAATGTTAATGACAATCAAAAAACATCCGTTATGGAGAAAGTGATGGCTGATTTTCGTAGTTTTTCCCCCGTATAGTTCCTCACCATGACAACAAAAACCTAGAGCTCTTACCAGGTGGCGCTGTCAGAGCCATCATCCCGTAGAAGGAGAATGGTCCTGCTTCAAACTTCATCTCCTCTTTTCCTGCCTCCACTTCCACTTTCCCCTACAGCCATAAAAAAAACAAAGGTTATTTAGTTAAGTCACCCAAAAGTAATGATCTCGCTTGTTAACTCGACTTAACCCCATTTATTTGGGAAGTTGAATTTAATTGCACTGGCCACCTCCCCTAAAAGATGAGAAGGCTACACGCTGATCTAAATAAATTCAAAAATAGATGAGAAGCAAGGCCATTGATATTAATCAGTCAGGAAGGGTGATGAAGTCAAGAACCTTCGATTGAGTGGTGATCGGCCTCTCTCGCATCAATGAAAGCCATTCAAGATCGAAATTGGTTGAAAAGGCCATCCAGGGGAGTGTTTAGAGGCAAAAAAAAAAAGACCAACGCCCATCTCAAATGTGCCAAAACAAATCTTGATGATCCCCTCCTGGGAAATATTCAGTTTACCGATGATGCAAAACTAGAACCTTGTGGATGGCACGCGTCCCAGGACAAAACAAGGTGGTGGTAGTGTGATGGTCTGGGGCTGCGTTGCTGCTTTAATGTTCTGCATGAGTCGCTGCAATTGAAGGAATCACAAATTCTGCTCTGGACTTGAAAACCTTAATGCCTGACCATCACAGTAAGAACCTTAAACCAATTTATTTAGGTTATGGGATCCAAAAGACTTTTCAGCTCTGAGCGGCTGAAAGTAAATAATATAAAAGTTTCAAAGTGGCCTAGTCAAACTCTGGAATTAACTTCTACAGGGAAAGAAAGTGTCTTCACTGTAAATTTATTGGGTCGAGAGGTGAACCAGCTTGCTTGATCTGGACCTGGGCAGAACTAGGCGATGCTGTCTTCATCATCATGAGGTGTGAAAAGAAGATTTGGACTAATATGTGTTTTATGTGTTGAACTGATGAGTGAGCTGTTTTAAACTGAGGGAGGACGTTGCTACGCCTCCAGCAAAGAGCCACAACTGTATTCTCAGAAGGACAAAACTTCTCTCTAGAAATCTGCAGCCCAGATTTTCTTTACATGCTAAGAAGGAGTGAGTCAGTCATAGCAAAACTGACAAAGTGTTGAGCGAGGCAAGATTGAAAAAAAAAAAAAAAAGAACAGCATAAACCTTTGTGATCCTCCGTACCCGTTTGCACCCTTGCTGATAATAGTTTGTAGAACTAAATTTGCAGACAGGATTAGTCTTGTCTTTTAACTTTTTCATAAGTACATTTTATGATTATATGTTTCGGACATATGTTCCAGGTGAATGGAGTCATTAGCTTTTCATTTGAATTGGTCTTGACCAATAAGAAACCTAACAGTGACAGCAACACTCTTTGGTGTGGATGCTGTAACTGAGCGTCCACAAAGTTATCGTGTGTGTTATCTTTTCTATTTACAGCTCTTTTTAAACATACAGAAAGTAGGGCTTTTGAATAATGTTTATTTTAGTAATAGATTATTTTATCAATTATTCTGGCGATTAATCAGATTAAAAACATTGGCACATGCTGTCGATTTTTTTATTTAACTACAAACACCACATTGATTTGCAAACAAATCGTTTAATCCTCTTTTAAACAAGAAAATAAAAATAGTACTGCCTAAAATGTAACATCATAGCATGCCTTTAGTGGAAGCTTGATCATTTGTAGCAATGGATCTGCAGCTCAATAAAATATTGTCAATTAATCTGTTCATTATTTATTTATTTATTTTACTGATAAGTGTTTAAGGTGCTTAATAAGAGATTTTGTATGCAATTTGTTCCAAGTGAAGCCAAAAATGCCACTTAAAAAAATTCTGGGTAGAACAGATTTATTTCAATAATCAATTAATCACGACTAATCTAACTAATCATTTCGGTCCTAATAGAAAGACTGTACATTTTAAGGCTGTAAACTGGCTGGTATGTGAAAAATGATGAGGTCAAACATCTTTAACTGCTCATGAGTTGTTTATTTTTTCCATTGCTGCCATTGTAATCTAAGCTGTCCGGCATTAAAACCATAGGATGCCTACCATTTAAGGATGCATGGCCTCTGTGGGAATGAACCCCTGCGGCCTGTACAGTGGAAAAACATTATGACCGAGGAAAACAACAGTTTACCGAACTGACAGCAACATATTTTATGTGATTTTCCAATGTAGTGCTGTTGCTGTTGTCGAAGAAAAGAAATGAAAATTCATCAATGCGATGTGAAAAGCTTGGGAGAAGCTGCGTCTTCTCCACTTTTATTGTCTGATTTTAAAGAGCTGCAGCGCTGACATTCACTCTTTTAAATGTAAATAGTATTTCTGGTTATTTCTGGTAGAGGCAAACATGCTGGATTAAAATCTTTTTAACAAAAATTATGCTTTTTTTCCCTCTCCGTTGTGCCAAATTGCACTGCGCACCTGCAGGATGAGGATGAAATAATCCACAGGCTTGTTCCTGTGGTAGAGGTAGTGCTCTGCTGCCCGCTTGTTATTCACGTCATATTTCAGCTCCTGGATGACGTTGGGGAGTTTCAGTAATCGCAGCAGGATCTTTTCTGACATCTGCGTCGGAAAGAACGGCTCCAGCTCTGAAAAACCAAGCAGACAAAAAGAGGCCGTCAGGAGACTGTGAGGCGGTTTTTGAAGTTACACTTTATGGGTTAAATAGCACAAGATTTTTAATCAAAGCATAAGATGAAAAACAAAGGAGCGTATGCCGATATTCGTTCAAAACTGGAAAACAATGAGTGGATGTTTTCTACATTTTCTGAATCCCATGACCAGACACCGTCATGCTGGGTCCTGAGCATCTGTCTAGAGGAAAACAAGACGTTTGAAGCTCCATAGCAGCAAAGCAAGTGCCTTCTTGAAAAAAGCACAGCTAAACAACACAGTAAGGCCTCTTAAAGGATAAGGGTGTTGAGCATGGCTGCACAGTGGAACGGTTGCCTGCGAGCAAGAAGATCCTGGGTTCAAATCCCAGCCTGGGATCTTTCTGAATGTTCTCTCTGGGTACTCCAGCTTCCTCCCACAGTCTAAACATGTGACCATTAGGATAACTGGTTTCTGTAAATTGTCCTTGAGTGTGTGTGTGTGTGTGTGTGTGTGTGTGGTTATTTGTCCTGTGTGTCTCTGTGTTGCCCTGCAACGGACAGAGTCAGACACCAACTCACCCCCCACTTTCTAGTTAATTCAGCTAATAATCATTTGACCACCTGGGGGCGCTAACGAACTGCGTAAAAAGCCTTAAACTTTAATTCCCAGATGGTCCTCGGAGACGCAAGAAACAAGACAGTGAAGTCACTTCAAGTGCATCTTCCTGTGTTCTGAAACAGTAGAAAGCTGTTCATTTCACAGAAATAACTACTATTGAGTTGTGTTATTTATTTCAATTTACTTCTGTTTAGTGGGAAATTCCAACCCTGATTCCAATTTACCTTTATCTAGGTAGAGGGTAGAAAACCCTGTTTCAAACCCTGATTCCAACTCTCCTTCTGAACCAAAGTCCAACCGTATTTCCGATCCTACTTCCGACCCCAAGTCCAACCCTTCTTCAAACCCAATCTCTGAAAAAGCATTGTGCAACACTTTTACAACGTTCATTTTCATGCTAAACTTGCTTGTAACCTATAAAATAAATGGCTCTCGTTAACAGTACTCGACCCTGTCAAGGATTTTCTTTTTAAAGTTTTTTTCAACAAGACAAGACAAAACAAGTAGGCAAACAAATAAGAGAGCTGTCAGGCCTAAGGAACTAGATCTTATTGGAAATTCGTAACAAAGAGAAAAATATGAAAGTACCACAGAGCTGCATCATCTATTAGTTTATCACACCCAGTGCTTCCAGTAAAACGTAAAGATTTCTTCTGTTTTTCAGTGACATTTAAATGTAAATGAAATATTTTAAATCATCCAGTGGATTTTAGATCTGACTAATGTGAGACCTTCAGAGTCAAGACATCCCTTAAAGCTATCTGGCAACATCAAGTTGACAAAAAGAGCTCAAAAAGTAACAAACAGTCAAACTTCTACATTACAGAATGTGAATATTGTGCCACTAGACACACACGGAGGTGGTAGTGGGTGTTGAACGCACTCCAGTGTGTGTGAGATGAACAATGAATTATGCAAAATACCAGAAAATCCTGAAGAATTTCCCTCCATCAATTTGTAATCTGAAGCTTAAGCACACCTGGCTTCTTCAGCAAGACAGTGATCCAAATCACCATCAAGACAATATCTGAAAAGCTCTAAAAAAGCAAGAAAAGCATTGGCCTAGTCAAAGTCTGAGGTTAAATCTAAATGAGGTGTCACGGCCTGACCTTAAACACTTTACAGTCAAACTCACCAGATTAAAATGAGGTCTGACGAGGCTCATTTTTTCAGATTAAAAGAAACTTTTGAAAATAACAACCTTTAAGCAGGTATTTGACATACTTTTAAATTAGCTAATTTTAAATACTGCAATTCAACATCTTATTGGCATCCAACAGTTATCGTATTGTTTATCATTTATCGTGAAAAATTCTTATTGGGGCGAGTGCTTTGATTTATTGTTATGATGAATTTCAGTCACTGATGGTAAATAAAAAAAATCGGAAATGTTTTTTTTTATCCACATGTTGCACAAAAATATCAATAAATATGAGTAGATTCAAAAATATTATTGAATACAGTTACTGTGTGCAGTTTAGTGATATAAAACACATATTTATTTAAGTCAGTGGCCTCCTGAAGAAGCATATCTCAAATGGACATGTTTTCCAAGAACAGTTTGTGATGCTAGGAATGCTGTGCCATGTGGCTACAGTTACCTAAAAATAATAAATTGGTAATTTTTATTCATAATATTTATCATTATCACCCAAAAATATTGTACCAAAAAATATCGCGATAAAATTCTAAGTCCGTATCGGCCGCCCCTAGAAACAACAGCAAACAGACATCCATCCAACCATCATGTACATCCACTGGTCCTAAATCTGTTTAGCATAAGATAAGTTGCCACCCTTACTCCAGTGGTTGCCTTCCAGGTTAATGTTGTTTTTCCTTCCAAAATAAGATCACATTTTTTACTTTATGTATGTTCCGTGTCGGGTTTTCTCTCAAGCACTGTGGCTCAGTCCAAGTTATCCATAAATGTTCTGACCAAGTGGCTGAAAACGGACAGAGAAATGAGGGAAAACAAAGCCAATGTGTTCAGAAGCCTAAAGAAATACCACTGTATAAAACTACACACACACACACACACACACACACACACACACACACACACCCTGCATTTTGGGACAAACTGGGACCAGAAATGAGGAAGTGTGTATCCCAACAGCCACTGGTCAGCCTCAGCCACCTGTTGGGCCAATCAGCTCCTTCAACTCAGCGGCGGTGATGTGTGTCAACTGGCTGCAGGCTCCGCTGAGAGGAACTGAACTCCCTAATAGCCTTTGGAGAAACTTAATGCTTAGCCGTGAGGTCAAAGATCGAAAGCAAATCCAAAATGCAACGAGGCACCGTCAGCCGCTGCCGTCGTACTACAACGCCGCCGTCCCGCTCCGCTTCCCTGGGGAAAGCTGCTGAAATGCTTCACATTTTACACCAGCAAGCACCCAAGTATGTCGGCTTGTGTGAGAACCGCGCTCACAGGCCAAAAAACGCTGGACGTGATGTCATTGAGGAGGAAGTGTAAGCAAACAGGGTGGTGTTTTTAAAGCTGCGAGCAAAGACTGCAACGTGTAACCTTCGGTGCATGACATGCAAGCAAATAAACGCCCGCGTTTTTTCCTTTTTTTTTCCTTTTCCTCCAGGATCTCTCCACACAGCCTGTAGACGTCCCGTGCAGCACGCTCAAGGAGCCTTCCACCTCTTCACACACACATGCATACCAACACGCTTGTTGTGAGTCTTTACACAGCTCATTCCCTCACACACACTCATGTACACTCATGTACTCATTCTACACACATACGCACTCGTCCCTTCCCTTCCAGCCAAAAAACTCAAAGCCCGCACACACACGCGCATGCACACACAAACCTTCCCCACATTTAGGAGCCGAGGGCACACTGGGGGAAGTCAAGCAGCAACGCAGCCCTACTTGCCTGTAGCTAGGAAACGCAGGGCAGCCAGCAGAAGCTGAGGTGATATTTTAACCTTCATTTCATTGTCAGTGGGCTTGAAGGCCGAGAAGTCCTGCTTCCTGTCCCGATGGGTGATTTTCTTCTTTGTCTTGTTGTCGGCTGAGGAGAAAAGATGAAAACACAACCTGAAGCTTTTCCTCCACAAGGAAAACATCACTTTGAGGCACGGACAGCGAGCTGGTTGTCCCAGGTCACAGGGTGCCTAAACTGGAGTTACCCAAAGCTCTTTGGCTTTTCTGGAACAGCGGCCGTGGCCACTTTCTCAGAAAAGGAGACCTTTAGCGAGTGACATTGTTACAACATTCTTACCACATTCCTGACGTTACAGAAAGCCATATGCGTTAGGATTTGCTGTGACGCATTAGAAAAGGGTTGTTTCAGCAGTAATAGTTTTTTTGTTTTGTTTTTTTTAATCAGTGGAGTAAGGTAAGATTATTTTCAAAGCAACATTGAAAGTAAATATGTTTCATGAAAGACCCCAACCCAAAACACCTCTGGTGGCAGATTACCTTGGCAAACACTTTAGACTGAAAGTATATCCAAAAATTATAAAACACAATTTCAAATAAACAAGTAGCTGGGTGTGATGAAAAAAATGACTTTTCACAACCAAGATTGTGGCTTAAAAGTGCATTAATATCAAATGCTGTTGTAAGTTAAGAACCCACATGGAAATCTAATCATATTTACGTCTCATTTTGTGAGCACTGGTCACCTCCCACCCCTACAAGTTGCCCCTTTTGTCCTAATTTGTGTCTGTTTTGTCCCTGTATGCAAACTATTTCCACCCCATGTTGATTTCTTTTGGTAAGAAAATTATTTTAACGAAAAAAGGAAATATTTTTCATTATTAAGATGGATGTCTGGTGCTCTTTGGACCAGACACTTTATGCCATTACCTATTAAAGTCACTGCATCATATCTGTGTTTGTAACTTGTCCAGGGACTACAGATACGAATTAGTTCATGCTATTATCCGGCACCTCACCTCACATAGTGACATTTATGTTTGAGCTGTACAATGTCCATTTTTAAATAAAGTTTATTATTATATAACTCTAGGACATACACATGTATTTTTGAATTTAATTGATGCTTTTGACAGCAGGACTTAAATAAAAAAATAAATACAATGAAAACAATAATGTACTGTAACAAGAACTGCTGTACACATTTACCTCTATTATAAAGATTTGAATAGTTTATAATTTTATGTCACATTTTGCCAGTTTAAAAAGAATAAATCCAAGACATTGAACTAGGCCACAAAAAGTAAGCCAGACCAAAATAAAATCAGAAATTAAAGCAGGCAATCAAGAGAGTAACTAAAATTATAGATTGCTTAATGTCTATCTCAGTGACATTTATTTATTTATTTATTTATTAACATGTTACGATAGTTTAGCCAGTAAATGTTAATGGGATTATATTTGATTAATCAACATAAAACAGAGAAGACTGAAAATTATGAATCTTTTAAAAAAATCTCTTTCAAATAAAAATCTGAGGATTTGTAATCGGCTCCTTTGTGTCCACACTTTGTGGAACAATCTTTCGTTGCAATCAGCCGCGAGTCTTTCTCGGCTTTTCAGACAGGAGGTTAAACTTTTGGCTCATTTGTCTGTGGAACATAGCAAAGGTTCAGGGGGAGTTCATTTCTAAACATCAGTTTTAAGCCTTGACCCAGAATCTTCACGGAGTTTCGATCTGGACTCAGACGAGATCATCCTAGCACAGAAGTATCCGGCCCGTCCACCCGCAGCTTTGGCTGTATTTTTAGAGATTTTCGTCCTGTTGTAAAACGAATCTTCAGGCCGGTCGTCATGTTTTTCACGCAGGCTCGAGCAAAAGTTAAGTTCTCCTTCTTCTACATGTGTCCCCTCCAGCAAGTTGGTCTCCTCATGGTTTTGTTTCAACATCGGTTTTCTTCTCTTTGTTCTTCCATAAACATCAAATCTTGTCACCAGATTCTCCCCTCTGAGGTTTGGATCTCTGCAGCTCCTCCAGAGTCACCTTGGCCCTCCTGGCTGTCAGTCCGGGTGAAAACGATGTCTTGGCAGGTTTTCAGCTGGGCCGTACTCTTCATCCGAACAGAGCTTTATGGGAAGGTAAGTGGATCTCTGGGATCTCACTCTGCTTTAAGCTTCCCCCTGGCCTGTCTGCTGTGTTCCTCAGACATAGTGATGCTGTTGGTTCGCTACCAAAACCCTCTGTGTCCTTCCCAAAAACAGCTGGATTTACACTGAGATTAGATTACACAGCTGGACTCTAATTTTTAACTAGATGACTTTCGGATGGTGTTGGTTGCACTGAATTTTATTGAGTCTTATCAGAGTAAAGGGGGTCAAAAACTTCATTTGAACAATAGGCCTGCCACGATAACAAATTTTGCTGGACGATAAATTGTCCCAGGAGTTATTGCGATAAACGATAATATTGCTGTTTTGAGATTAATTAATATAACGGTAATGGCATAATAAAGCAAGAACGCATTCTCAAAGATCAATAAATTTAAAATTCTAATGAACATTTAACACTGGAAGTGTAAGACATTTTAAATACCCAAAATAAATGAACAAAACAAAAGAAACAACAAATAAGTTGAATCATGAAGTCTGCAAACAAAACTGTCCTTCAAAAAAAAGGGCAAGTTGAGACCAAAGCACCAGACTGAAGATGTCTGTCATCCGGTTTTTAGTAGAAAGACAGAAAAGAGAAAACGGAAATGGAAATTATTGAGTTTGTTTTAATACAACATGTGACTGATTAGCTAATAGCTCATTGCAGCAGGCCTTACTATTAATATTTCCTATTCATATTTATGACAGTTTATAATTTTGTGCTAGTCTGTGTTGGTATATGAAATAAAATACTGGTTGGAACGTGGCGAAAGGTGGAAAACCTTTCGGTAAAACGACACCATCTCATTTGACACATGTCTGCATTCAAACACTGAACTATTTATGAGCTTAGAGAGGGAGACCTACTGTATAAGTCAGTCTCATCCAGGATCTCTGACTTGATTATTTCTTCAATAACGTCCTCCAGGGTGACAATTCCCAGAACCTCATAGAAGGGGTCTCCCTCGCCTTCATTGTTCACCCTCTGAACTATGGCCAGGTGGGATGTTCCTAGCAAGATATACACACACAGGTTGTAAAGTTAGGGTTATATAGTAATAAAACAAAGCAGATGTAGTTCAAGCATCAGGTTACTGGGATACAAACCGGTCGACACAAACCACTTCTCTCGGAGAATAACTTATGGGTTTTTATTACCAAATAAAAACAAGCTTATGACATTCAAGTTGCATGGCCAGTTCTGTTAGGTATCGAAAATAAAAATGTGTATAAAAGCTCAGTCCAGGAAAGAGACAGATCCGACATCTCATCACATCTGTGTTCCCAGGACCCTCCCGCGTGCCGCTCCCATCTGAAACACAAACTGCAGCTCACGCGGACAACAACTGTCAGGCAAAACACTAAACAAATTCTTTGCTTTTTCTCAGCTTGCGATCATTTAAAAGGAATTTTCCAGAGGCCCGGGCTAATATTAGCCCCCGCAAAATGAAGTTTCCATTCCACCCCGGTGATATTCTCACTGAGCTCCAGGAGCAGACCGGGCGAGGGAGTGGGAGGTGGTGTGCGTGGGTGATGGGGGGGGGGGATCCTCCGTGTGGGCAGACTGTCGAGGAATGGCCGGTTCACATGCACCTGGTTGTGCAAAAAAAGATGGACACCTGCGTAGAGAAATACAGCTACGTCGATGCCGCCTCAGCTGGCCGGCGCTCTGGCCACTGTGGTGCAGGAAGGCGCAGGATGGAGAGACCCTAATGCTGATTACTGAGAGAGTTTCTATCGCACTGCAGCCCTCCGCTTCCCCACAACTCGACAGCGAGACGTCCCAGTGGAAGTGATAAACAGATGGGAGAAATGTTTTCAGATTGACTCCTGAAGACATTAATTAACGTAACTACATAAGAGAGGAAGCGCAGCCTCCTTATAAAACGTCTTTGCAAAGAGTGGTGAGCCCGTCCGTGATAAACACACGTGGAGCTTTATGGGTCAAAGTGATCCGTCCTCAGGACTCCTTATCGAAGCAATTACTGTAAACATGCTCAGTGCTGGTCAGCAGAGCGAAGCGGATCAATGAGCCAAACTCCAGTCCCATCAGCTCCACAGACGGTCATATTCAGTAAATTAGAACAGCGTTAAAAAGTTATTTTTATTCTAGTAACTCGATTCACCAAATGTGAGTTGAAGGAGCTGATTAATAAATGTGATTACTTTTTGCTTAATGACATTTAAGAAAAGGATGTTCCGTCATATTTTTATATTAAACATGTTTTATATGGAAGACCAAAACTGACAAAATTAAAAATGAAAGCAGACAAAATAAAAAAATATAAAAAGACTTGAGAATAAATTAAATAGAAAACATTGAAGACATAAATATGTCTGTGAGCAAACAGATTTTTTTGTAAACAGTAAAATTTGTCATATGCGCTTAATATATCTTTTTTGGAAGTGAACAGAAAAAAATAATGTAAATGCCAATTAAATATTAAAACACAAGATAAATTTCTCCTTTTTAAAATCATTCTGTTAATTTTAAGTGTACTGGCCATTTATGTCATAAGGTGGGGTTGAAGTGGTGAGGAGATGACGCAGAGAACCCAGGTTATGGTGAAGATGAATTTAATGATGAATGTAGTTCACATAGTCCAAATCAGGCAGCACGGCAGGAACAACTAGCACGCAGCTAAGCACCGGTAGCAACTGACAATGAAGACTAAATCAACTGGAACTGACGTCGACACAGGACTTAACCAGTACAACTGGGAAGACGGACAGACAGACGCAGACTGCAAACGTTTGACAATTGACAAGGACCCGACGAGGAACACAGACAACAGGTGGGTATAAATACACACGGGGTAATTAAGGGAATGAGACACACCTGGGGAGCAATCAACGGGGAGGGCAGGACAGAGACTCACAGGGAAACAGGAACACATTGAAAAACTCAAAAACACACAGAAAACCACGGATCATGACAATTTATATAGTTCAGCTTTTATTTTTAATTATGTCAGTGTCTGTCCTCTATATAGTTTAACACAGAAACCTGGGCTTAAAATATATGTTCAATACCTGAAAACTAAAAGTACTTTTAACCTGACAAATGAGTCTCACTGAAATGAATATTCTAATTCGTTATGACTGAAAACAAAAGTTAATACTCAAGACAACACTGTCCAGCTGAGCGGTCTTGATTTTGAGTTTAAATTAACTCAACATTTAAAATTGAATTTCAATTTCACTTGAGATTGAACATAAATAGGCTGATGCGATTTTATTTACTTAGAAATATACTCTAGACTTTTTTGTAGAAAAGCTGTAAAACAACTTTTGATTATAGGCGTGAAGCACATGACACGCAATGTAATTTGAGAGGGTAATGCTGCAGATTTTAGTTCAAAGGTCAGGCAAATCACAAAAAATGTATAAAAAGTTCACAACTCATGCTGCAGAAAGATGATTGTTTGGAATGAACAATAGACCTGATGTCATTTAGTTCTTCACATGTCTATTTGTCATTTAAACCTGTTTATTTCTTCTGGGTTTAGACCGAGAACCTCCGTGTCAATTAAAATGTTCTAAGCTTTGGCTGAAAATTACAAGCCCACAAAGAAGAACCAGGGGTGTTCAAAGTGTGGCCCGGGGGCCATTTGTTGTCCTTGAAAGGATTTTGTTCAGCCCCTTGGTACAAGTCAAGATTGGTAAAAAGTGGGGCAACAAAACAGAAAGCAACTGATGACCCAAAATATTTGGAAAGAAAAATATTTTCTTTTAATAAGGTACCAGTCTACTATGGCTCTGTTGATATACAGATTTCATTAAAAAATGTTTATTGTTGAGCAGAAGATTACAGAAAACTACTTTTTTACGTTTTTACTTTAATGAATTTTGTGGCCAGCAGATAGTTTAAATTAGTCTTTTTTGGTCCCCAGAGCAAAAACTTTGATCATCAGTGCTGCAAAAAAAGGTAAAAACTAATTCTCAAAACCAATTTCATTTGACCAAGTATTGTTGCATAATTTTAGCCATTTTACATGTGATATTGCAGTAAAAATACCAAGAATCAGGAGAATACTGGTAAATATGTTGACATGTTAACAGTTTACTGACAGACGGAAACATGCACTTTAATTGAAAGTGTAAAAATGTTTCAGGTAAAGTATAGTTTGCTCCATAAGAAAAATATCTGTTGTGCAGCAAGAATTGTAATTTCCAACCAGAACCATAACAGAACACCACAGTGATGAAGCTGTTTGGAGGACGCAGCGATGACACGCGGATCAGGAACGGAGTAATTAGTTATTCTTTTCTGCTGAGTTTGCACCAACAGATCAGAAAATTTTTAAATGTTTTTTTTAAATCAATTAATTGGCACAAGTTAAAGTCTGGCGCTCCGGCGGCCGCTGTAGCGCTGTTTCGTGTCTGCATTTTAAATTCTGCAAATATTCAACGGGGGGGACAGACGTCACATATGCTAATAAATGAAAATGAAACAAAATACCCCTTCCCCACCTGCTGCTGCACACTGCTGGCCAGCTAGTTGAAAGAGGTCTGCTACTCTTTTCCTGCTCGTGCAAGAGACAAGAATTCATCTGTTGGGAAATATTGTTGTTTTATTACGATCTCTTGCATTTCTCTTGAAACCCTACCATTTTATTCAGTCTTTTTTTTTTTTTTTTGATTCACTGGTTGTGTCTGGTTGTTTCGTGTCCCAGCGAATGGGACTGTCCCAGTTGCATCTGTGACTGTTGATGTGGTTTATTTGCATACACTTTAAGCTGTGAGCACATTAGATTTGACTCTGAAAAGTCACTAGAGGGTTTGGAAAAGTTGATAAGTATAACAAACTTACTGACATAAAGCTTACACCAACCCTCCATAACAAGTTAAGTAATCCACTCTTAAAAACGTTATTGGCACTAATATCCAATATTAGTCAATTTTTAACCTATCGGTATCGGTCCAATAACAAAACTGGGCTGTTATTAATAACTAGTATTTACTTCCATCTTGCTGATATTTGTTTCTGTAGGGATAGGGGAGGAGATTGGTTACTTGGTATTCATTTGGTTATGTGCCGGTGATAGTGATGCAGTGAAGGATTGTGAGAAATTTAACTAAACCAGAAAAGTAACGGTGAAGTCGACTGTGTGGTCGTGTCTTTCATTGTGTTGAGATGGTAGTGAAATATATATAACATATACAACATCGGTAAATATACGTTATCAGCCATATCAGCAATATTAATATCGGATATCGCTATCAGCCCGCATTTTCATATCGGTGCGTCCCTAAGATAAATCAAAACAGAGAATCCTTGTAGTAAGTTTTGCTTAATAATTCAAAATGACTTTGGAGTAATGTGTTGAACAAATAAAGAAAGGAAGATGAAATGAAGCAGAAAAAGCCAATAAAATAATTTAAAAAAAAACTGCTAAAATGTGAGTTTGTTGCCTTCTATCAGGTTGCTGAAAAAAAAAAGTTGCTAGAAAGACCCAGTTAATTTGAATTTAATTGGAAATCTCTGGACAAAAATTAAGATCAGAGTTGACAAGAAGATTCCAGAAACTTGAATAATCTAAATTAAATAAGTGGTTTGATTTGTTTGAATATATAATGTGGGTTTTTACAACTAAACTGAACTTCATGCAGACTAGACAAACACTCAAGAGTTAAATATTGCAAAGCTGAAGTGTAAACTCTCAGACCTGTTTCTCTGTGAAGCCTTCACTTTATCTATGAATAATAAATCCTTTATATCCAGGCATCAAAACCTATTATTACATAAAAAATAAATATGGTTTTCAATGTGTAGAAAAACAAATAAGTTGAACTCATCAGAACTACAGCAGGCTACATCGACAAAACCTGGCAACCTGTTGAGCTCCAGAGGGAGAACATGATGTTCTCATCCGGCTTTATCAGGGGATGAAAACCTTAACCTCACCTGGAACATCAGAGCTGACCTCTGACCTTTAGATAAGCCCGCTGATAAGGCACAGAATACCCACGAAAACTTTTGCTCTTCAAGCAATCGTGACAACACACAT